GGGGGGGGGGGGGGGCCTGCGAGCTAAGCCAAATGAAGGGCACAGATCTCTCGCCGAGGTCTTCGGTGAGCACATCTGCACGAGAAGACAATGAGCAATGGATCAGATTCCCACACTAGCTGCCTTCTCTCCCTTTGTTCTTTCTCTGTGGTGAGCCACGCAGGCAGGGCTGTCCAGAGCAGATGGCCGCGTCCTCGTCCGCATCACAAGGTTCTCTTCCGCCGGGCTGGCTGGCGCCGCGGGAGACCATAGTGTCGTGCTGCAGAAGTCAACTCGAGCTGACAGAGGCCATCATCCACCGGACACTGACTGGTCCAGAACAGGTGGCGGGGCTGATACAGCGGGGAGCCGACCCAAACACCGAGCCACTGATGCGGAAACACAAGAGAAAGGCACAGCGCTTTACGTGCTGGAAGAGCTCCGGCGGACGGCCCAGGGCCAAGTCCTGCCTAGCGCTGGCCATCGACAACAAGACGAGCCACGCCATCCCGACCGTCTGGACCACCCTGGTGGACTGCATGTGCCTTCTTCACCCCGTTGCCCTGCCTCGGTGGGCATCGCCTCAGTTGGAGGAGGCCATCATCAACGCACTGGTCCGTCACCAGATACGACAGACAGACAGACAGACAGACAGAAATGGCTCTTGCTTCTGTTGTTGTCGCAGATCAATGGTGGGGCGGACATCAATGGAGGAGGGGTGGATTTCTGGACAGAAAACCCTCCTCCATTGGATCCAGAAAACAAGCCGATCAAGGTGGCCATCTCAGGAGGCAACGAGGCGGCTGTCAACATCCTGATGCAGCGCCAGGTCAACCTGCGAGGGCTGATGGTGCTGGAACTGCCAGGGGGCGACGGCGTCTACTCCCATCCGCCAGGCCCTGACTACGAGAAGAAGCTGCTATCCTTCTTTCGGCGCCTGCTGCAGCACGACAGCACACTCGCGACTGAGACAGACAGATTCGGCCACAACAACCTGCTGCATCATGCGGCCGAAAACGGCGTTTGGTATTCACAGGCCTTCATCGACGCCTACATAGAGCTGCTGGTCGGCCACGGTGCTGACATGACGGCGGTGGCCGGCACATCCAGCGCCACCCCGCTGCATTGTGCGGCAGAATGCGCCTCCCACCGCGTGGCCGAGTCCCTCTGTCGCCGCCTTTCTGCTGACGACATCAACAGAGGGACAGCCAACGAGCCCAACAACACACCCCTCGCTGCGGCTGCTCGGCAGCTCCCCTCCTACAATCTCGAACTGGAAAACGTTGACGATGAGCTCGACGACGAACGAGACGGAGGAGAGGATGACGATGACGATGACGATGACGATAGCGACGAAGAACTGGACCCAGCCGAGGAGGAGCGGATTCGCACCCGAGCCATTCCCAACATCAAGGCCACCATCCGGACGCTGCTGCGGGGCGGGGCAGACATCACCCGCCTTCCCATGGCCACCGAGGAGCAGCGCCGCCAGCGTCAGTTCGTGCTGGCCGAGTATGCCACAGTGCTGAATGAGCTGTCCGAGGCTGTCATGTCGGCCATCAACGCCGCCCTCGCCCCCCAGCGCGACCACTCGACGCTTCTCGCCCGTCTGCTGCCCCTCGCCCCCCACCACGACGGCGCCCACCCCCACCCCTCCCCATCCAACATGGCATTCGGACCACACGAGGCCGAGGGCATCGGCTGGAAGATCGCCGCCTTCTGCTTCGACTGGGATGACGCAGCGATGGCGATCGGTGAGAAGATCGGCCTCCGCAACAGCACACTGGCTCGGCGTGTGCGTGCGGCCATCGACCACTTCGTCAAGTCGGCGCTGTATGCGAGCAGCAATAGGGAGGTGGTGGGCGGGACGAGATACCAGCAGCAGGGCGACAAGCGCGTCAAGGTGACCGTGCCGCCGCTGCAATGCTTCGCCACCCGTGCCGCTGGCAACGGGGGGCAAGTGGTGGGCGTGCGTGAGGTGGTGCATCGGGCCCGGCTCGACGAGGTGGCGAAGTATCAGCTGACGGGCGTCGAGAAGGGCTTCAACGCGCATTTGGGCAATGAGGACTGCCAGTTCGGCTGGGGTCAGCTGGAGCTGGGCGTAGAGTGAGGGAGATGGGATGGACGGGAGTGGAGGGATTTGATTGGTGGAGTGATTGGTCTTTTTCTGTCTGACTGACACGGGCAGTCGTTGTTGACCACCGATTGTTGGTTAGTTGGACCAGGTGTGCGAGTACGTGTGTGACACTGTCCCTCCCCTGCATTCATGTCGATCGACGTTGATGTATGTGGCTGGCTGACGCACGTCAACTCGCTAGCTATGCAGGCATACAGACAGACAGACATTGTCATGCACCACACCATACACGTGCAACACGCACGACTGACTGAACATGCACACAAATATTGCATGCACACACACATATATACACAGACACATACACATGCAGCTGACTGACGGGGAGGGATGGAAGGAACCAAGGACGCACAAATAGCCAGCTAGACCCAGGCAAAGCATCCACACAGACAGATGGGAAACCACTGTCCACCCAGCTAGCTAGGTGTGAGTGAGTGAGGGAGTTACATTACAAAAGATGGAACGGACATGGAATAAACAGACAAATGGGACCACGGTTGCAAAGACAGAGTGAGCGAGGGGATCAGTCGTGGGGTGGACACGAGACAATGAGACAGACAATGTGGAGCATCGAGGACTGGACATCTCTTCCCAGCTACATGTCTGCGGCGAGAACACGCCCTTGTTGATGGAAACATCCATTTCTTCACTTTGACTTAATTTGTGGCTGCCAACACACGCACTAGACACATCGACCATTCGGCTGCACACAGAAAAGCGGGAGGAACACCCACAGCGACAGTGACACACACACACACACACACACAGAGAGAGAGAGAGAGAGATGGACGGATGAGACTTTGGGAGAGACACGGGTCGGGTCAAAGTAAAATCAGAAGACAATGAGTAATGGGGAGATAGGCGGCGCCACTATCTGTCTCTTCCTGATATGCCGCCACCCACCCACCGACAACTCAGCTAGTCGCACGCTTGAAACAGACACACAAGCCAGCACCAGCTGCTCTTGAGCTGGGTTCTCCCCCGATACCCAGAGCACTCCCCTCCTCCCTCGTCGAGCCGACGGCCACCAGCTGCAGCTGCAGCAGCAGCCACCCTCACCCGGTCCGTCTGGGTCTTGGCCAGCTGCTCCAGTGCCGCCGTGCCGTTGACGAACCCATAGCCCGTCCTGTTGTCGAATCCTACCTGGAAACCCGGTTGGCCAGGGTCGTCCATGTCTTGTGCCGTCTCTTGCAGCAAGGCCTTGATCTCGGCAGGTGAGATGTGGGGGTCGTAGTCGATAATAAGTGCGGCGAGGGCAGCCACGTGTGGGGCGGAGGCGGAGGTGCCGAAGAAGTCTAGACAGAAAGGAAGGACGAAGGAGAACAGAACAGCCGCCCTCACGTGGCGTGGCTGCCGTGCCGTGTGTGTGCTATCTGCTTACTTGGGAGGCCGTCCCCCTCTCGGTCGCTGATGTTGCTCACTCTTGGAGGAAAGAAATTCGTGTTTGCACCGTCTTTCAGACACACACAGAAAGGGCAAGGGTGGGCCTTACGATGATTCCAGGTCTGTATATGTGTGTGTGTGTGTGTGTGTCATGTTGTCACCTGGTCCGCACACCACGGGAGATTCGCGAATCTCAGGCGACTCGAGCCGTGTGCCATTCGGATGCCAGTAGATGGGGAACACACCTGCAGACTCACACAGAGACACAGAGAGCAGCTGCCTTCCGCTGCCGGCAGCCTGACCAGTCACCCACCTCTGGATGAGAAGCCATTGACCTCTGTGGTCTTGTTGGTAAATGCAGTCGTGTTGAGGTACTCGGCTGCACAGCACGCCGTGTTGCTCGCCGCGTAGGAATGCCTAAGTGCGTGACACGGACAGCGACACACCTGTGTAGGTGGGTGGCTGGCTGCACGCCACGAGCTGTCGCTCTCACCCATATGTCGCCGGTCCGAAGAAGTCCTCATTCTTGCGTGTGAGGCTGTTGAGGCCAAAGAGCACGACACCGATCCAATTGGGGTCGGGCTTCTCGGGGGGATCGCCCCTGCATGACGCAGACAGACAGACAGACAAAGAGGTGCGAAAGGAAAATGCGTCCATGTATGGTATGGGTGTTTGGTAGTGAGTGGTGGGTGATGCCTTGCACTCACGGCGTGGGCGAGACGAGCTTCCCAATGCGAAGGAAGAACTGATCTGACGGGCCCAAGTTCTGTCACGTGAGGTGCGGCGACAGACAGGGGGCAATCGAACCGATAAGGCCTTTCTTCCCCTTGTGTCCTTCTGTCCTGTCCGCCTTTTGGCTTACTTTGTATGACATGATCTCAATGGGGTCGCCCAGCTTACTGCTGATGCCGAATTCCACGAGCGTCCTGTTCCTGCGCAGCGCATGTCAGGTCAGCCCAGCCGGCACTCATGTAAGCGATCCGACCGACGGACACAAGTGTGTGCCATTCGTGTGGTGTATAGCTCACTCGTCATACAGGAAGGTATCCATATCGGTGATGGCCCCATCACCTCCTGAAACAACCACACACACACACACGCAATACTGAATCCTCCCTTCTCCCTGCAGCCAGCCCTCCCTCCACGACTCACCGAAGACGGTGAAGTACCCCTGATCCCAATTGAGGACGCTCGTCAGAGTGCGGTTGATGGGCAGGGTGAAGGAGAAGTCGATGTCGCCCGTCTGGTTGAACAAGTGGAACTCGTATACGGTCTCAACTGAACGCATACAGACACAATGAATGACTGCACCCGCCTAGGCGTCTGGTTGGAATCTTACATCCCCCAATCGAGATGGTATCATTGATGCCGCTGGGGTGGTACGCCTCAGATATGCCGCTGTCGCCGTAGTTGCCGGCCGATGAATAGTAGGCCCTTCCAAGCCCAGTGACGTTATCGACCGCCTGAGCGATGATCTGATAGGTCGAGACACATGTCACAACAAACCAGCCGCATATGGATGGCTGAACGGTGCTGCCGTCCTCAGCTGCGTCATGTGCTACCCACCCCATCGACGAAGAACGGCTCTGCCCGATAGCGCACGTCATCAGCAATGACCTCGCATCCCTCAGCAGCCAACAGCAAGATGCCTGACACGCACGCGCACATACGTGTGAATGCGGCCCCATATTGCAAGTGTGTGACACAAGGCAGGCCTACCAAGGGCGAAATCGGCCTGGCCCCAAAAGGCTGTGTGGAAAGCGAATTTGGGAAGCCCCGGGGCCACATCGTACCTGCACAGCCAACATAGGCAGAAGGGCCGGTGCTCTTTTTCTCGCCTATGTGTGTGTTGTGTGTGTGTGTATGTGGGCGCTTCGTGTGCGCACGCACATGAGCTCCATCATTCCCTGGCCTTCATCGCTCATGCCCTCTACCCCCTCCTTCAGAACGGCCACATCTTCCGGCAGGTCACCGAGCTCCCTAAGGATTGCGGCATTTCCTCGTACGTCATAAGAGTCCGACAGTGCCCCAATACCTACACCAACCAGATCAATCAATCCATTGACACCAGGTATGGTATCGCCGGCCGTGTGGTGCTGTGTTGCAATCTTGCGTCGTACAAGTCAGACTGGATCCATCGACGTTGTATATCTGCCTCGCAAGGTCGGTGTCCATCGCACGGTCCCCCTGGGAAGTGACGTTGCCCACCAGACTCACTGCAATCATCGGATTCCCACCCGTCGGTAGCGTATCTCTGGGCGGCGAGGAAGGGATGATGTCTGCCATCGCTGTGCGAATCACGCGAATCCCAGGTATCATGGTTGACACGAAGGCGATCTTGTCGAAAGGCAGCCTCGCCGAGATCACCCTCTGGAACTGTTTGATGCCCGTGAGCCCCAGTGAGGTGAGTTTCAAAGTGAGGCCCTTGACACCGCCCCGCTCCAGCCGCGACTCGTCGATGGCCATGTCCACAACAATGCCCTCGGTAGACACCTGTGTGGCCGTGTCTTTGGCGAACTGCCGCAGCTTGGTCCCGTCGCGGAAGAGGCCGCGCCAGTGGTGGAATGATTGGCCGAGGGCCAGCCGCATCGTGCCGTTGTCGGCGCTGAACGGGTCGTTCCTTGCGAGTGCCGCCGACACGCCCTGCCGTCGTAAGTCAAAGAGCCGCTGCTCGATGTGGAGGAAGTGCAGCTGGTAGAGCAGCGTGTCGAGCTGTATGTTGGAGGGCTTGAACAGCCGGCGGGCCGTCTCGGGGACGGATTTGACCAGCTGCGCGTACCTGACGTCCACAGCACCTGCAACACCCACAACAAGAACAGCCATAAAACACTATCAGTCTGCCTGTCTGCCCTCTTCGTCCATACTCGGCAGGTCCCGTTCTGTGTCGTCCGCGACGTCGGTGTCGTTGCCTCCGCGGGTGTTGGGCTGCTCCACCCACAGCTCCGTCTGGGAGTCTTGCGGCTCCTGCCCGTCTGAGATCATGAAGACCATGGAGAGAACAAACAACGAAGGCAACACACCCGACACCATGAGACGGCTTCTTGTACTATTATTTCGTCGACGTCGGGTCTCAATTCTGGTGGATCCCGATTCCTGATCGTCGTGAGTCCAGCTGTCTGAGGGGCTGCCTGCATTTCTGCTGCCGTGCCGCCCTTCAAGCTGTCATCACCCATCCATCACATCTGGCGTCACACGAGTCCATCCTGAGTAGACGAGTCCTTTTGATCTGCCGGTCCTTCTTGTAGCCACACACGAGTTCCGCTGTAGCTCCTGGTCCTCTTCCACCATGCGCCAAGTCAGCATGTGCCGCTTCCTACTGCCCGTCCCTCCCACGGACAAGGCGGATCAAGCGCCTCAGCAGCGCCACGCGGACACAGGTGAGATGGCTATCACGCCCACAGATCTGCTTGAACATGCGCTGATGTGTTTTGCTTTCGATGCATGCCTTCAGATTTCACCACTCCCGAGGCGCAGGCCATCGCCGATGAGATCATCACTCAGCGACAGCTGGTGAGCCACACACCAACACCGACCAGACAACACATCCCTGAGGAATGTGGATGCGTTTGCTGTTGTTGTCAGGCGTCCCCTCCGCCGAATGCGTCACTGTGCGGCTTCCAGCCAGGGAAGCTGGCCGACGTGTGTGAGCACATGTACACCCACGAGGCCATCCGGCTGGCCCTCCTCAGCAAGAGCATCCAAGACACGTCCCAGTCGCCGTTCGTTATCCGCCATCTCAACGTCACCCCCGAGTCGCACAAGCTGTGGCGCAAAGCACAAAGGAGCGTCCTGGGGCAGCTGCGGGGCCGCCTCACCCGGCTGGAGACGGCCTCCATCATCACAGACGAGGATGTCTACTCGCGAGGGCTCAACGAGGACCGGCTGGGCGACGAGCCAGAGGCCAATGACGATGCACTCGAGACCGTACCCCTCGATACGTCAGAGGAGCGGCAGAGCCTGGGCCATGGCCATCGGTCCGTCTACGCGCGGCTGCTGGAGGCCTCAGCTGCGCGGCTCAAGGAGTGTCACCTACTCGAGGCCTGCCCTGGCGTGAGCGACGGTCCGGGGTCGATCTCCGAGATGCTGAGGCGACAGCCAAGGGTGACCTTCGAGTCGCTTCATGTAGTCGAGATAGATGGCAGCCTGTGGGCGGCGGTGGCATACAGCCGCCTGTGGCGGCTGCCCAGTCTGAAGGTCTTCGTCAGTAGCGGCTGCCATCCCCAGCTCATGATGAGGTGGCTGGAGCACACACCCCACCTGGCCCATTGCGAGGTGGAGACCGCCAACGCCCTGTACTTCATCACCGTCTTGCGGGCCGTCCCCTCCCTCAAGAGCCTCACGTCGCTGGGCGTCATCGACATCGACGACAAGTTCGCCCCCTCTCTCGACACGTTTCTGCGCCTGCTGGAGGACAAGGGCGCCATTGGCCGCAGTGGCCACATCGAGAGCCTCAGTGTGCTCCCGTCGTTCAGCCGTGTGGATACCGACGAGGAGGGCCAGCAGCAAGAGGATGACCGGGACGTGCAGCGCGACCGCGTCCTCGCGGCCCTGCGTGCACTGGCCGTGTTTGTGGACCGCATCGCCGGCAGCGGCATCTCGGCTGGTCCCAACACCCAGGTGACGGCCATCCCGCGCTCATCATGGTACGACAAAGTCACCAGCAAGATGCTCAAGTCGACAGCGCAATCGGACAGCACGGGACCAGCGGCCTCGTCGTCGACGGCTGCCGCTGACAACAGCGGGCAGACGGCCAGTCGCAAGGCGCCCCTCTTCCCCAACATGGTGCCTCGAGGTGATGCTGATGGTGCGAGTACGAGCCAGCCAGTGGCTGAGATCACAACCACCAGGCGCCCCTTCCAGCTGCTCATCTACATGCCCCCACACTTCGACGACAAGCTGCTGCGTCTGGACCTGAAGGCGTCCGACGTGCTGCCCAAGAAGATCGTTCGCGAGATGGCCCGGGCGGCCGAGGTGATGGCGGTGGAGGCCACATCGAGCAGCGCGGCATCTGGCAGGGGCAGCTTCGGGGACTACGTCTTCGATTCGCTGGCCGGTCTGCAAATCTGCGACCCCGCGGAGATGACGGACGCCGTGCTGCCCCTGCTGCCAGACGCTCCCTGCAGCCGCTTTCCACGACTGCAGAGGGTCTTCTTCCGGTTCCCCTCCTTCCATCTGATCAGAGAGGGAGGGGTGAGGCAGCTGCTGTCTCCAGTCAAGGGCCAGCTGCCCAAGGCCGTCGTTTTCCTCATCGACGCGCCCAGCAGATACGACACCAATTACGGCACAACCGCCCAGCCGCCGGCTCGAGAAGCCGCTCCTGGCCTCCTTGCCCAACTTGCGGTCGAGTGCCTCGAGGCGACTGGTCAGGTGGACGAGGTGGAGCTCGACTTCATGCCTGTCATCCCTGACGAGATCGACAGGGGGCTGCCGCACACGTCCCCCTTCTACCACCTGTACAAGACTCCCTCCCTCATGGCCCGCCTCCCCACCATGAAACACCTGACCATCGACTCCCCGTACTGCATCCATGGCCAGCTGGGCAACCTGCAGATCGACTTCATCATGGCCGTCATCACCAACACGCACGGCCTGCAGCAGGTGACCTTCAGCGAGAGGATGACCGGGGCGGTCCACGACAGATATCCAAACCGGCTGCAGCACTACCCGGCCTACCTCGCGTCTGCTGCTGTCGATGAGACGCTCGCGTCGGCCGGGTCGCCGTTTGTGGTGGTGTCGGCTGATGACACCACACTCACACTCAAGCGATAGAGGAGAGACGGTGGGTGGGTGGGCGGCTGTTCGGTGGTGGGTGGGAGAGACTGAGAGGTAGACGTAGCGAGGATTGGATTGGATGGATGCAGTGTTTGCTTCGATGGGGGGGTTCGTTTACATGTAGCTGTTCGTGCCTTGGTGTACATATTCGCATCTGACGTGTCGCAGCCCAGCATTGCTGGCATGAATAGAGGCTGAGTGCAGCGTGCGGTGGGCATTTTGGGTTAACAGTTTTGATGCATCTGGACGGTGCACAGATGGCTGTAAGCAGGGCTGTGTGTGGTTCTGAGCAACCGCCCTCCCATTGCAGGCAGACAGACTGCTCCAATGCCTCACTCGCGTGGCTGTGGAGCACTGCTGTCGGTCTGTCTTCTTCGAGGCAGATTACTCAGAGCCAAGACACCATCGACACGAGACGGTCGGACGTGTCACACTGTGCATGCGTAGCTTGCTGATGAGAGGGCGGCCTGGACACGAACCATGCATGGCTCACTCATTCGAATGCAATCGCACCGTACCGAGTCTGGCGGACCGAAAAACTTGAGAGACATGGATCCATGCCACATGTTTCTAATTATGGGATCCATGCCACATGTTTCTAATTATGCCTGTGCGAACACACCGGCAGTCCAAGCACTCTAGTCACACCCAGTCAGCTAAACAAGCCGGCCCCCACTCTGCCCTCATTCCCTGGCTGCGAGCGCGGCAACTACTCATCCGACCCTCATCAGCGTGAATGTGCTCCATAGCGAATCCTCCAGCCGATGTGTGGTGCTGGCGAGGTTGAAGAGCGCCATCGCACCAACGAACCTCTCGTGGAGCTTCTCGCGTAGTCGTTCCTCACAGCATAGCATGACACACGAGTGCTTGGTGTCCTGCAAGAACCGAGACAAACCACACGAGCACCCCGACGTCCCTCCACGCTGTTCTCCCGGTTGGATGCGATGCGCGAACCAACCCACCTCTGCCTTGCTGAGAGTGACGAGCATGGTCGTCAGCCGGCTGTAGAGACACTCGAAGAGCGAAGCGCGCGACAACGCACCTGTGCGCAGCAACACATGTAGCGGGAAACTCCATTTGCATTTCAACGGCCCATTGGATGCCACGGCCCTGACTGACCTTCAACGAATATCTCCGTGGACTCGATGGCCGGCATCTTGCTCAGATAGTCGATCCATTGCTTGCTCCACATGGCAACCTCTTCGGGCCTCATGTCGACGAGGCTGTCGGCAGTTCGTCTCAGTCTGAATGAGGCCAGCTTCTTCTCCGGTGCGGCCGTATGCAATGCCTCCAAAAAAGCGATCGCCCACGCCCAATGTTCGCGACACTCAATGCGCTCCAGCCGCGGCATCTTGACGGCCACCTTCACAGCCCGCCTAACCTGCTCACAGAAGTGTGAGCGACGGCCTTGGGGCAGAATGAGGGTGGTGGCCTGGGGGAAGCTTGTGGGGGTCGCGGGGTTGGCGCCAGAGGCTTGTCGCCGCTCGTCGAAGATCACCCTGCGCACTCCCTTGGCGAAACCGGCCACGAGCTTCTTGACCGTCTTAGAGCGGTGCTGGCGGCTCCATGCGAGGACCTGGAGGCTGATTCCGCAATAGTCGCTGACGCACGGCATCAGCGACTTGGTGAGGGCATCAGGATGCATCACGGCGTCACTGAAAGAGAGACAACGAGAAGGAGAGGAACCAGAAGAGGTCATGAGTATTGTCGGCCCGCCCTCTCCGTGTTCCCTCCCCTGCTTACGAAAGCGCCGCTGCGCTTTCGATCAGCCGCCGCGTCTCGCTGGTGTCATCCAGGTCCCGCCCCATGTCGAGCGTCATCTCCTGAAGGCTCCTCACGCACCCCCGCCGCACCAGCAGCTGGCGGAACTGGTCCACTCCTGCCGCATCCCACCTCACCTGGCCGAGGAACTCCTCCACCGTCCTCACCCGGCCCAGTGACCGCAGGCCTGCCAGGCCCTGCCCCTCCGGCATGGCCGTCAGCAGACGCTCGTTGTCCCCCTGATTGCCCTTCGTATCGTACTCGAGCTTCTCGAGCCGACTGCATCCACCGATCCACTCCCGCGCCCCATCGTACTCGACCTCGTCGACGAACCGGCCGTCGAATGTGAGTGTGGTGACATTGGGCGTCACCCACCCCCGACCGGCACGTGCCCACGCGCTGTGGGCCGGGATGTTGGTGACGGTGGTGAGGGCCGGCAGATGGACGGGGGAGGAGGGGGGAGGGGGCCGGCGCTGGTACCAATCGTTCCGGCCTCCTGGGAGGCGACAGTCGACCTCCTCGAATCGGATGGTTTGCAGGGTGGCGTGAGTGGGGGGCGGGGAGGGGAGCGGGGAGGGGGGCGGCGTAGTGATTGCAGATGACGCTTCATCGCTGGCCTGGCGCTGTTGGTCGCCCGAGTGGCCGTGTGCATGGCCCTCGACTAAGGACACCCAGGCCGGGACAGACCACTCGGTTTCCCATTGTGGATACCGCACCGTCAGCTCTTTGATGTTGCGAGCCCTCTGGCCCCACTGAAACGCCGCGTCGCACGACAGGTTCTCCCACATCCGCCTGGCCGATTGGTCGGTGCAGTCGAGGGTCAGCTGTGTGTACTGCTTGGCGGCATCGATCTCAAAGGCGGGGCCGATGGCCGACCGCATGCGCGAGAACTCCCAGGGGTGGAAGTGGCTGAAGATGCACACGTGGTTGTCGCGCGACAGACGATGCACGGCCTGAACGCAGCAAGCAAACACATGGGAGAGAGCTGGGCGACATTCCCCTCCCTCTCTGCGTTGTGCAGATTGTGTACCGGTCCATCCTTTGGCTCGGGGTTGCCGCTCCTGTATACAATACGATACGGCCGACTCGGCTGCCCGCCCTGGCACACCACATACATCAGAGAGGCCTTTGTATTGGGCGCCTTGCCTATCTCCACGTGTGCCATCCCACCGACCCACCTCTGTGTATGTTGGAGTGGGAAACACGCCGCTGCCGTGCTGATGCTGGTGGTAGTGGTATGTGTCATATGCTGCTGCCGGCGTGCTGGTGGCGAGAGCTGCCGCCGCGGCGCGGTCGAGCGGGATCTTCAGCAGCGAGAGCTGTGTCGTCATGGCCGCCACATGTGAGGCCATCCAGGTCATCTGCTCACCCACATCACGCGCCGCACGCAATGACGCCTGTACACACCGCAGCAACCGCCATAATGACTGTATATGCCATTCAAGCACCGCTGTGGTGTTTACCTCTGACGTGGTTTGGGATGGCTGCCGCTGTTGAAAGGGAAACGATGTCCAGAAAACCTGAACACAATACCACACACACAACAGCGCGGCTGCAGGGAGGCACCACCTGTCGGTCTGTGTAGGGTCACCTCAGCCAGCATGCCGCTCAGTTGATTTAGGCTGCCGTCCAGTGACTGTGCACCATGCCTCAGCTGACCGGCAGACACACAGACAGCACACAATAAAAGCGGCCCCAGCAGTGAGAGCTTCTGCCCACCTGGGCTATGACTAATCTCCGCTTCATTGGCCTGGCCAGAGGGAGAGGGATACGAGCTCACCTGCAAAGAGAGAATGGAATGGCTGAGTCAGCCTCCTCTGTCTTTGTCGCTGTGTGGCCTACGCACGTTGCCTTGAAGCTGCTGAGCCTCGCGGGCTCCGCGCACCTGACACACACACAGGAGGAGAAAGAGAGAGGGCCGGCACGGATGACGTCCGTGCTGTCTGTGCCCATAATCTATCCCTCCTTGCCCTCTGCCAATCCACCCATTCCGTCGGCTCTCACCTGCTCCAGGTCCATTCTGCCGGCGCACCAGAGAGCTTTCTGACGCCTCAGATCCAACACGAATGGGACAGGAAGATCCTCGAGCTCGCAAACGACGGTTGGGAGTAAACGGCTGGGACGGAATCGCCATCAGGTGCTTGGCACAGCAGGGTGAATAGCCACTGAGATAGATCCGACGATGTTGTAATGAATTCGTCTGACCTTTGGTCCTGATTTCAGGCGCGGCGGCTGTACTTGTGGGATGCATCTCTGAGTCGGTTCACGTGTTACGATGGGCTCGTCGCCTCGCGTCATGACACTGGAGGAGGCGGGAGATCAACTCATTCGAGCGAAGAGAGCCGCCAAGGGCAGCATCACCATCACCCTCCCAGCCTCTGGCGGCACCAACTGCCTGCTGTTCCTTCTATTGGTGGTGCTTGGCGGTGCCGCATGGGCTCACGTTGTCATTGGCGACATCAACCGTGTGCAACTGGTGGCTCAGGAGGCAACAATCAAGGCCCTGCAGCAGCACCTGCAGGACAACGACGCACTAATAGGCCAACACGAGGTGGCGATGGGTGAGAAGGAGGCGGCAAACGTGCTTCTCCAGGGTCAGCTGGCAACGGCCAGCGCGGATCTGAAGAATAAGACTGCCACAATCACGGCCTTCCACGAGCAGGTCGCGCGCCTCACGGAGGACCTTCACAACACCACAGAGGCCCTGCAGCAGAGAGACGAGGCCATCGTGGCTCTCGAGGACCGATTCCAGGCCACTGAGAGAGCCCTCGCCCGAGCGAATGGACTTCTGGACAAGTGGCCCCCTCTCGATCAGAGCTTTGTGACTCTAGGCGTGTGGCTCCTGCTCATCCTCAGCGCACTGGGATTCATTGCCAGCTGCCTCTTCATCGTTGCGCTGGTGGTCGATGGGGGCGGGGCAATCAACCTCGAATACATGATCATGGGTGGTGCCGCTGCGCTCGCCTTCTTCATTTGGGCAGTGCGCGCGACCTTCTCTTTCCTGGATGAGAACACTCGCTGTCCTGGATGAGAACACTCGCTGAGCTGTGTGTATATCCATCCCCACCATCGTTGGGCACTGAGGCGTCCATTTCCGCCCTTTTTCTACTTCGCCTACTGAGGCTGGACTGGGCTGTGGGCTGGGTAGCGTGTTGACGGCCAGGTGAGTGATGGCGTTTGTCTCTGACTTGACGGCCAAATTGGCTGTGTGGGCATCGGCTGGTCTGACTCGCCTAGTGTTTGACTGTTCTCACTCGCTTGGGGGCCGAGGGCGAAGGGGACATATACTGGTGTGCTGTCGGGAACGGCTGTGGGTTTGGGGCTCAGACAGACGTGATCCATCCATTCATCTGACACTCTGACAATCGGCTCTATTCATTCAATTGCGTGTGTCATATAGAGCACAGGCAGGAACATTGTCAATCTCCCCACGCACACAGCCAAACCATCACCACAGCAGTCACACACGCGGGTGCAAGAGGGCCCTACGCTTGAGTCTACACCTCTCAAATCAATCAGCTACCTTGCGTCTCAAGTCGACATGGCCTCACTCTCGCACTTGTCACATCGGCAAAGAAAGCCATTTTCCTGCATGCAGACCATCTGCATGCTCGTGTCCACGCACGTGAATGTCTGTGTGCATGAGACCATCTGTGTGGATCCAAGCGTGCGTTGATTGCATGCGTCGTCATGCGTCGTGCGGGATTCCCCGACTGACTCTTCTTTCGGGTTCCCTTCCCTCCCCTTCCTGCCCACCTATACCTCACATCGACCGACATCACACCGCACACATAACATACATCACACGCGTGCGTGCACGGTCATCAATCCTCTCTACGAGCTTACACGTTGGGGGAGTCGGTTGACTGACATACCGAAAGGCACGTTCCGCATTAATGAAGCCATGCCATTTGTCAGTCAGGGACGCACGCACATACAAGTTAGTTCGTCAATCCATCAGGTCAACCTAGTTGACTCAAGCATGAATGAAAGGAAGCACGTGTCCCTCGCCTAAGCCGACCACCCATTGGCGCTGTCACTAATGTCCAGCTCACTGTGCACAGCACGAACCCCCGCATCCCACTTGCCATCACAATCTCAGCATCTTGTGATGCATAGGCATGCAGTCGTGGTTTGCCACTCACTAGGCGGGGTCACTCGAAGACACCGACAGACTTCCCCGAGACACAACCAGCTCCGAGAGGTCCTCAGCCGGGGGTGGTGCTCCGGCCGCTCCACTCTCGCTTCGATCAGTGGGGGGAGTTGGGAAATACGAGTCGAGTGGTGATGGTGTCGATAAACGGCGGCCGCGTGCATGCACAGGAGGCGGCTGCGTGCCGTCTCCGTCTCCCTGACTATCAGCAGCACAAGTAGCATCAACGGCCGACAGCCGCAAGTCATCGAGCCCTCTGCTATGCAATTGCGGTACAGGCGAGCAGAACGGGCTCGTGAGGGGGGTGATGCAGGAATCGCCGCCAGTGGACAATCGGATGTCCCGCCCCTCCGGCAACGGCTCCGGCCGCTGCCCCTCGGGAGGCGGTGGAAGCGATATCTCAAGAGAGAAGGCAAGCTCGCTTGGTCGTGGGCCCGATGTCGCTTTGTCACTGCCCGAATCGTCGCTGTCCTCCTTATTGCTGGAGCTCCCTCTTCTGCTGTCTCGCAGGGGGCTCACCACCGGTGACGACGAAGGATGACCCAGTGTGGCAGACCGGTAGAAGTGGGCGGTTTTCCGCCGCTGGGCTGGTGCTGGCGTCTCCAATGCCATCTTCGATAGCGGCTCGTTCCCCTTAGTCGAGTGCCACAGCATGTCAATCACAGCAGTCAGGAGGCGGACCTGATGACCACAGACAGACACGAGCGAAGCCAATCTAGCAGCCTCCGGGCTTCCCGGCAAGGCGTACCAGGTATGAGAGGATGTCTCTGTCCACGGCCGACCTGCCCGTGTGGTGCTCGACAGCACCTCGGGGGTGGGCGACCTGCAGGCAGCCTTTAAGAGCTGCACTCGGATCATCCGTCAGCTTGATGGGCAGCACAGACATTCCCAAGGGCACATCAAGATCGACGCCTGGGTCAAATCTGCGCACGAGACATGAGACATGGTACGAGACATTGTTGACTACGATGCCTGTCAGTGCTTCATGCGGCGACCTGTCGTCGGCATTGGCCTGGGGCACACAGATTTGGCGACCGTCGTAGAGCACCGCCCCTGCGAGGCCTCTGAACTCATCAAAAATTACCCTCTCGCCGTCAGCAAATCTGCAACAATGCCACAGATACAGCTGATCCGCCGAAAGGGTCGACGCGTCCTGGCTCACCTGAAGAAGCGATCGATGTGGAAGCGGTCGACGCAGAAAAGACGGACAGCTGGGGTTTCAACGACGTGGGGCAATGACTTCTCGAGACAAGTGCAAAGTTCCTTGAAGGTCTTCGTGCTGGACAACTTCAAGGCAAGCTCTACCGCATCTTTCATCCTGCAGGGCAAAGCGTGGAGAGAATGGTCTGTGGGCTCAACAGCACGTGCACACACGCACACACGCGTCCAGCCATCGTGCTTACTTTTGGTTCTGAATCGTCGTTTTTTCGATAGCCTCCACCTTCTGCACCAAAACGCCGGCGGCCAACCCGAAACACCGCAGCAATTCCTCGTCTTCGCTCGTAAAGCCCTGCTCCCCCTCATGCGCCCCGCCCCACCCCCAGCCACCGACCGTCGCTCCCGACTTCTTCTGCGTTGCCATGATGACTCCCACCACTTTTCTGCTACGTGGGTCTGTGATCGGGGCCGAGCAGAAGGGCTCGCTGGGGGCGTCGAGGTAGGAACGGATAGTGTAGTCGCTAGTCAGTGTGGCGTTGCGGATACAGCGGCTGGTGGACAAGACACATCCGATGACGTCCGCATCGGTGACTTGGTGTCGCTGCTCCTCGACCTCTCTCTTCTCGTTCCGTGTGGTCTCCACATGCGTCCACAGGTCACCCCTCCTCTCATCCAGCAGGTATATCCGGCCGTGCAGGCACTGCACCACCTGCTGAATGCTGCGGCTCCCACGAACGAGTGCGTCGCTGAGCGTGGTGGCTTGCGACATCTCGTGGACAGCCACGAGCTCGTGTTTCAGCCTTTCTTCATGAGACAACAACAAGGGACCCAGTGTCTTTGCAGCAACAACCCGCTGAGTCTGTGCCTGCCATCCCACCTGTGAGCGAGGTGCGTCATCCTCCGCAGCCTCGCGCCTTGGGCCTGCAGCGACGTGACGACACGAGCCTGCTCCGCAGCAGGGAGGCCCAGCAGGTCTTTGACGAAAGTTGTCGGGTCCTTCCATTTCTCAAAAAGATCCACGTGGTCGACCATGTCTCGCCGAATCCCACGCTCGAAATACGAACGGATGGAGACCGCAGAGCGAGCTGACGTTGGGGCGGCCGTGTGTGCCGTGCTGTCCTGCTCGGTCGGTGGTGAGTCGGCATGTCGACGGGGTGAGGAGTTGGCCAGGTCCAGGCCGATCTGGAGCTGTCTCTTCTCTTCCCTGAGGAGCCTGTTCTCAGCTAGGGCTTGTTTCAGCAGGTCGTCACGCTTTCTTATCCCCTCCTGCAGCAGTCTGTTCTTGTCCTCTGCCTTAGCGGCCCTCCTCTGCTCAGCTCTCAGGCTACCCTGGAGCCTGCGAATGGACAGTCATAGCATAAGGGTCATATTTGCCGTGAGGAGGTGCATGCTCGTCTCGTGCGCCACCTGGAAGCAGTAGACAGCAGCTCGTTGAGTGCAGCATCCAGATCGCACCGGTCCGGCCTTCCCGACGTGCCCCTCGGTCCTCCTTTGTTTCCGAAAGAGCCACAAGAGCCCGAATCAATCACTGCCGCGGCCGAGGACGGGCGCCGCTTCCTCCCGCTCTTGGCCAGCTGACTCGGAGGGGGCGAGTCGAGCCCGTAGTCAGCAAGGCGGCGGTACAAAGGGCCTTTCTCCCATTGGATTCTGGCGACGACCTGTCGGAGGTTCGAGAGGGCAGCATCCAGGTCAAGGGAGACATCTGACGGAGACGGCTGCAGATGAGCTCCGTCCTCGCAGGTTGCCTTCATTGTTGCACTTTCCTTTCGAGGAAACTACAGCTTTCAGCGGCCTCAGCGAGCGAAGCTCGAGACGATCTGGGCGATCTCGCGCATGCTCGAATCAATAAAAAGCGCCTATTGAGTCATGCACAACTTGCAGCACAAGGGTTCGTTCAGTCAGGCACATGCACAACCATGCCGCTTCCTACGTTTGTCTACTGACAGGTGTACGTGTGTCGATGTATGCATGTATGTATGCAGAGCAGTTTCCTTTTCCTTGTGTACGACAGCAAGGATGATGCCCAGCCTACAGGGCCCACACAATGCAGCACAGATAGAGCACACACAGGGAAAGCAAGCACGGCACGCCTCTTAATTTGCGGATGCCAAAGGATGACATCACGCTGCGCATGCATGTCTCTTTCCCCTCTCCCTCCCCCCTGCCCCCCTCCCACGCAAACAAGCACAGACATACAGCCCCCATTCAGCCCCTGTCCTTTCTCTCCCAGCTCCTCCCTGCCTCTCCCCCTCGATTCATTCCCGGATCAGCTTCTTGGCTTTGGGATTGGTTCTCAGGTACTTGGATGAGTTCTTGACGAGTTTGCTGACCTCAACACCGATGTCGTTGGTCGCCCCTTGCGCCACCCGCTGTGCCGTCTGGACGACCAGATCCGAATGGTTGGCAACGTTCGGGTCGATGCCCTTGTTGGTCACGTCGCACTGTACACCCACGAAGTAGAGTTTGCGGCCCAGCCGGAGGGGTGAGATGTGGAGGAGGTTTTCGAATATCTCGCCGGTTTTCCGCTTATTGACGAGTTTGACGATGAGATCCTCGTCGCACGAGTCGTTGCGGTAGACGCGCAGGACGTAGTCCTTGATCTTCTGCGTCGTGTTGCGGTCCGTCTCGTCACACTGCAACAGACTGAATTAAAGGAACCGGCACCAGGAGGGGCGATGAGCAGAGCTAAGAAAGCACGAGACATGGAGCACTCAAGATAGGGCCTTGCTTCCTTGCCTTCTTCCTCCCATTCCCCCTATGTGTTGCCACACTGCGGTCATGCAGCTGTTGTGAGGCCCCCCTGCTCACCGGCAGTTGCGTCCGATCAGCTCCCATGGCTCGAACTTGGTCAGGTCGCAGAAGCCCTTTGACACTGCAACGATTGGGCAGTCAGGCAGGTCCGGGTCGGCGATTGTGGTAGAGAACTCTAAGCTTGATATACCTGAGGAACAAGCGGGGCACAGATGTCAAGGACAACACCGAGAAATGGACACAGCTTCTCGAGCTCTGCAGCACCAAGCGCAGTCACTGACAGGCAGGCCATACCTTTGAGCATCTTGATATCAACCTCTTCTGACGCCGTTTCGAGCTTGGCATCCGAGTCTCGCAGGCACCCACAGAGGCATCGAAAGCAGCCAGACTCCTTCGTTGGCATGATGATCGTGTCACGCAGTGGAAAGGGGTGGTGGTAAGACACGGCAAGATGCAATTGGCAAGACAAAGAACGAAACGGGGAGATGGAGGAAGGAGAAAGAGCAAGCACGGCGCTTCTTTGGGTCCTGGGGCCTAGAGAGAAGCTCGCAGTTCTCGGCCTTTGGTCACAATGACAACAGAAAGACGTTTTCGGCCTCGATGCATCTTCGTTCCCTCTCACAGTCGCCTAGAGACTGGTTTTGACGATGACTGTCACATTTGCTGATCTTGCTGCGCCGTGATGGTGATGCTGCCATCTGTCCTCTTTTTGGCCGTCTTATCGTCGGTGGCGGCGGCGTCGCCCCTGCAGCGGATCCTCCAGGCCGCCAATGAGACGGATCCATCCCCTGATCTCCCTCCAGGCTGGCGTGACCCAAAGAGGCTGAAGCTCCTCCAGCTCTCTCTCGTCTTCCGCCCGGCCGATGTGGTGACCGATGCAGTCGAGCAAGGCGACAACATCCTCCCCTACACCGAGATGGAAGAGCTCGTGAGCTGCGATTCGTGCCAAGAGGATGCGGCCGCATTGTTTGAGTGGTCTCACGAGGCCGGGTTGGCGCCCAACGAGACAAGATCCATCTTCGAGGACAATCTTTGCGTCGTCCCCTTCATCACCTGCGTGCGGCTGAGCGAGGCGCTGGCGGACGGCGGCCCGCGAGAGGGCTACCTTATCGTTCTGACGGGGTTTCCCGGCGACAGAGAGATATCGGATGTGCCGGGGATCTTGCAGCAGCGACGGGGGAGGCCTCTCGTCTTTTCGGATGCTTTCTATCGGCTGCGGCACGTGATGTGCCTCTGGTCCTACCAGGTGCCCATGCAGGGGACGCTGTCCGATGAGCTTTCCAAAGTGACCTCTTTACGCGCCCTCTTCCTGTTGGGAGCGGTGAGCTGCATATCATACGCACATCCGCTCACTCATCCACCCACATGTTTGTGTCTGTGCTGTCTGTCATGCCAGGGCCCCTTGGCAGGGCCGCTTCCCAGCACCATCGGCGAGCTGCCTTATCTCAAGGGCCTGTACATTCAGCAGGAGATGGTTGCCATCAACGGCCCCATCCCACCCTCCATCACCAGTCTACCGCGCCTCGAGGCCCTCACACTAACATCGACGAGCTTCTCAGGGTCCATCCCTGAAGACATCGGCAATCTCAGGAGGCTGCGCGCCCTGGAGATATGGGACAACAAGAAGATGAACGGAACCTTCCCCGCCAGTGTGACGTCTTGCCGCAACCTCACCCGACTGAAGCTCGATGGCACCGGCCTCTCGGGCCGTCTGCCCGGCGACCTGGGCACCCTCTCCCGCTTGGACGAGCTGACGCTGGCGAATAACGGGCTGAGTGGGGAGCTGCCCCGGTCGCTGGTGCAGCTGAGGCGGCTGCGGGTGCTGCTTCTGACCAACAATGGGTTCAATGGGTCGCTGCCGGACGGGCTGGGGACCAAGATGGACAGCCTGCGACAGCTGGATGTGTCGTTCAACGAGGTAGGCAGAGCACAACCAGCATGAGCGCGCAGATGCGTATTTGAGAATGCCTCTGTATGTCAACAACTGCCTGTTTCTCTCTCTGTCACCAGTTTTCCGGTCCAGTGCCGGCTTCCTTGGGCAATGCGGCCAACCTGACGTTTCTGAGTCTGGAGAGGCAGGAGCCGGGCTTCAGCGGCCCGATGCCACCGGAGCTGGGGCAGCTCAGCAAGCTGCAGCAACTCTCAATCGCTTACAACAAGGTACACACACACACACACACACACACGTATGACGCACTCTCCCTGTCCACAATTGTTGTTTGTGTGTGCAGCTTTCCGGTACGCTGCCGGACACGTTGAGTGGCTGGAGATCGGTCGAGTATCTCGACTTGCGCAACAACAACTTCTCCGGCACTCTGGAGCCGCTGAGCAACCTCACGTCGCTCGAGGCGCTGAGGGTGTCCAACAACTCGGTGAGCAAGAAAGGCACACAAAGGGGAAGGGCATTTGGCAAATGCTTGTGTCTGTGCTGTTGGTGGCTGCGTGTCAGTTTGGTGGCCATCTGCCCTTCGGCTTTGAGAGCTTTGAGAACCTCACCAGATTCGATGGATCCAACAACAGGTGCGTGCGGAGCGCACAACACGCGCCGACATACTGTGGATGGATGGATGGATGGATGGATGGATGGGGTGTCAGGCTGGTGGGTTTGGTGGGCCGTGATCACAGTGGTCCGGCCTACGAGAGCATCCGTCGGCTGGACGTCCACTCCAACCTTTTCGAGTTATCGCCCGACCTGTCCGTCTTCCCCAACCTCGAGTACGCCGATCTCCACAGCAACCTTATAACGGGATTCTCGGGCAATGGATCCATCCCACGATCGTAAGCCACCAGGCCAATGAACAGACAGACAGACATGAGGGATGGATGGATGGATGGTGTTTGTGTGTCTTGATAAACAGGTTGCGTTACCTGGACTTGCGCGACAACCGGCTGACGGCGCTGCCGGAGGGCTTTCGGTCGATGCCCAGCCTGGAGACGCTCTACGTCGCCAACAATCGCATCAACCGGACAGGCTGGCCCATTTGGGGCCGCACCCCCGATGGATTCTGCCAATTGGGGCAACTCAGTGAGCTCCTGACACACACACATACACACGCGCGCACGCGCACACATACACACACAGACACACACAGAGAGAGAGAGAGAGGCAGAGGCGGGCAGGTCGTGATGCATGGTCATGTGTGTGATTCTAACAGACTCGAACGTGATGCGGCAGCTGCTGGATCCGCGTGTCGCCCCGCCCGACTGGGGCAGCTTGACCGACCTGGACGTCTCGAACAACCCCATCAATGTCGACGTCACCGACTTCCTAATGCCGCTCAAGTGGCAGAGAAAGTATGTTGCTTGCACGCAATCTTCCCTGGCATGTGGCCGTTCCCTCCAAATGAAATCGACCTTCTGCCTCTATGTGTTCTTGTCAGCTTGATGGTGCTCACTGCGGCGAATTGCAGCCTCTACGGCGCGATGCGTTGCGAGGCCTTCGTCGCGTTGAACCCCCAGGAAGTGCAGCGCTTCGATATCGGCACGCTTGACCAGGAGACATCGGTAACACCCCCGCCCCCCTCCTCCCACTCCTGCCCAACACACGCAGATGTCACGGCAAGGCGCTCTCCTGTCTGTGTGGGTTTGTTCCTTCATGCAGTTGTCGAACAAGATGCTGCAAACACACTGGGCTTTCCCCACCTTGACGTCAGTGCACATGAGGGACAACAGCATCACGGCCATCGACACGGGGGGCGTGAGGCTGGAAAAGCTCTACCACGCCGATTTCCACAATAACTCCCTCGTGACGATTGCTAGCGGCCACGGCAGTTGGGAAGTGTTCCATGTCGAGTACGCCCGCTTCACCGAGAACCCCGACCTGAGGTTTGACGCGGTCACCGACATGGATATCGAGGTCAGTTAGTGAGTGATCCACACGCCATTTCCCTTCCTCTCCCCGCACTGCATTCATACCGTCCCTCTGTGTGCTCTACCTCTGCCTGCGTGTGGTACCTCTAACTAACAGAAATGTCAGGATTTGCGAAAGAACTTCAGCCGGATGAGCACTGCGAAGCCCCTGGTGCCCGATCCACAAGGTATGTACGCCCTGCCCTCCTGAGTGCACTTCACTCACTGCGTTGGCATAGACGAGACACGGTCTGTGTGACGGGACGGGTGTGTGCAGGCTACCTGGTGCGTGACATCGAAGGCGAGGAGGACGAGTACGAATGCACCGAGTTCTGCTCCATTTTCCACCAGATTGAGGTCAGTCCGCCAGCCCCCGACACAGATCCTTCAATTGGTGTGGCTTGTTGTGTCTGTCTGACGCACGCGGACAACACAGGTCGACGACACCTTCAACTCTGAGAAGCTCTGTCGGTGTGTGGGCGGCTACGAGGGCGTCGGCACCAACTGCACCAAGTGCCGAGCCAACACCTTCTCCAACAGACAAATCGGCACCAAGACATGCCAGGACTGTCCCACGGGCAGAGGTAGGTAAAAGCAGCCGGGACTCACATACATACCCACGAGCAAGCCAAGCTCACGTACCTGTCCTGTTTGTCGGCCTGCCTGCGTCCAGTGACGTCGAAGGAGGGAGCCGTGATCTGCGAGTGCGACAAGGGGTACAAGGCAGTGGGCGAAAGCGAATGCGCGCTGTGCGAGAAGGGTAAGAAGGTACACGCAGACATACAGAGCACTATGCGCCTGTGTGATTGCAGGTTCCTACAAGGAAGACACTGGTTCGACGCCGTGCACCCCCTGCCGCAACGAGAAGTTCTCCTCCCTGCCCGGTTCGCAATCGGAGAAAGACTGCTTCTGCAACGCAGGATACATCAAGTACGTCTGTCACGTCACAGCCCCCTCCCCTGCCCTCCCCCATCTAGCCAGGCAAGGCACACCTCTCCCTCTCTCCCTGTGTGTGCAGGAACCCCAATGACACTCAATGCATGGAGTGTCAAAGGGGTCTCAACTGCTCGGAACCCATCCTGTTCCACCCCCGGGTGGAAGAAGGCTTCTACCAGCTCGAGGTCAACCTCACCATCCTCCCTAAACACGCCCATTCAGATGGGCCTGAGGAGCTGCACACTGACGGTCAGAAGGGGGGTCGCAGGCGGCTGCTGGAGTGGACGTGGAACTCCAGCCATTACATTCCGATACCGAAGCTCACGGACCTGGGGCTTCCCCTTCTAGTCGACAACAACACACACAAACGGAGAATGACCTCGTAAGCAATCTGACAAGTGGTGTGAAGGAGCAGCCATCCACACACAGTGTGTGCTGTTTTTGTGTTGGCGCGTTTGTGTGTGCAGGTACGACGCGAAAGTGACGGCGCTGCCTGTGGTCGTGGAGTGCCCTGCCCGCGACGCATGCCTCGGAACCGAAAGAGAGACAGGCCTCAACAAGTGCAAGGTGCGTGTGAGATCTGCCTGTCTTTGTGTGGGTGTGTGCTGATCGAATTGGCCCACCCCTCCCTCTGTCCGCATTATGTCTGGTCTGTGTGTTGCTTGCAGACGGGCGAGGGCGGGTTCCTGTGCGGCTTCTGCCTGCAGGGCTACACGCGCACGAACCCCTTCACCGTGTGTGCCAAGTGCAACACGTATGCGCAGGACATGGCGACGGGAATCGTGTCGCTCTTCGTGGCGCTCATCTTCATCTTCTTCCTGACATTCCTCTCGCAACGAGCCGCCGCGCTGCCGAGAGCCAACATCCACTCGATGCTCATCAAGATGGGACTCAACCACTTCACCGCGGTCAGTCAGAGAGAAAGAGAGAGAGAGAGAGAGGGGAGAGGGAGAGAGACCTCCCGTCTCACACACAACATCAACGCACACACGTACGTCATCCCGCCACATACGCATCCCTGTCTGTGCCTCCCTCCCTGTCTATGCCTCCCCCCTCCCTCTTTGTCCATTTCTTTCTTCAGCTGAGTGGTCTGGCCTACTTCAGTGCCTACAAGACCCGGTGGCCCTCCTGGGCAAAGGACACGCTGGATAGCGTGTTCTCGTGGGACGGGGGCATGCCGGTTTCCTACGGCAGCTCGGAGTGCATCATGCGGGACCGCCTGGGCGACGACGCCGTCCTCTGGAAACACGGCCTCTGGATCATCCTGCCCGCCATGTGGCTCCTCGCCGTCACTCTGCTTGGTGGGGAGTGGCATGTGGGTGGTGCTGGGGGCGGCGCGCATGGTTGTGTGTGGTGTGGTGTGGTGTGTGTTAGGTGGCATTGCGGTGTTGGTGCGGTATTACCTGTTGGGCCACGAGAGTCGGTACAGCCTTGGGGATTTGATCATGTTCCTGCTGCGGCCGTGGATGTGGACGAGGGCCTTCGACTCCGACTACCCCACACACCACACAAGACCCACAACGCCCCACACACGCAGGTGTGTATCTATCGTAGCCAAACCACCATACACTCGTGACGCCCAAAGACAAACCATATCTCATTAACCATGTCATCTCCTTTCCTTTGCTCCTTTGTCTGTAACACGGTTGTTCCTTCTTTGACCCATTCAGCACGACGCCCACCCGATCCAAGACCCCATCTAAGCGCCCCTCCATCCACAGGAGCAAGCTCGAACAAGAGCAACAGCAACAGCAACAGCAGCAGCAACAGCAGGCCGAGCAGCAGCACCGGCGCGAGTCGCTCGCATCTACCGCCGTCCCGCCCCTCTCCGAAAGCGAGACGCTCAACGCCCTGACCGATATACACGCCCAGGACCAGGCCCTGCGGAGCCGCAACACGGCTGACTTGGCGACAGTTGAGGAGGGCCGTGCGATGGGAGAGAAGGATGACGGTGGGAGCGGGAAGGTTGAGGTGGCGGTCGTGAAGTCGCGGGATGAGAGAGAGGTTCAGAAGCCTCCGGAGTCCGTCAAAGTGCTGGGCATCTTCCAGGTGGGGTGGGCTGGATGGTGTGGGGCTGGATCGGGGGCGTCTGAATGGGTGGAGAGGTCATGGTCATGTCATGGGCGTGTGCAGATAAGCTGGAATGTGGGTACGCCCTGGTGGCACTCGATCTCCACTTTCCTCGGCCAGTGCGCGCCCCTGTGGATCGTCACGCTCACATTCGCACACCCCAGTAAGCAATGCCATCCAGTCACAGCAGAGCAGGCCTGACGGCTCCATGATTGAGTGGGTGTCCTCCTTGCCTGCCTGTCTATCTGCCCGCCTCTCAGCTGTGACCAGGAACATGCTCGAGTTGCTACGGTAAGCGAGCTGAGCTGAGCTGAGCTGAGCTGACGAAAACTTCTTCTCAGGTGTACTTGGAGGCATCTGCCTGTCCGTCTCTCTGTGTGTCTGTTGTCTCTTCTTGCAGATGTCAGGAGTATCCCTGGCTGCAGCCCGAGTACACGACCAACACGAGATACGTCGACATGAAGGATGAGGCCCACATCCAGCGCAGGCTGGTCATCAACCCAAACATCATCTGCTTGTGAGCCACTGCCCCCCTCCTCCCTCCCTCCTTCGCCCCTCCCCTATTTGATTTGACGCCTTCCTGCCTGCCTGCCCGTCTGTCTGTCTGTCTGTCTCTCTGTCTGTCTGTAAGCGATGACGCTCATGAGTCCTTCTGGATCATTGCTGTCGTGGGGTTTTGTCTGTGGTCGATCCTGCCGGTGTTTGTGCTGCTGACGGTGCTGTGCCTGCAGCGGTCCAACCTGCACCTTCCCGAGACCAGGGCTCGATTCGGCTTCCTGTACAACGTAGGCAGCCAACACACGCACTGAGCGACGGGAGGCATGGCGTCATCCCGCCCCTGTGGTGTGTGGGTCGCTCCTGTGTGCAGGGATACCGCCGCAACTTCTTTTTCTGGGACTCTGTCTTTGCGCTGCGTCGTGTGTTAGTGCTGATGATAGCGCAGCTGGCGGTGGGCGCCGCGCCGTTCCAGCTCGTGGCCTGGGCTGTGGTCGCCATCGGGTCCCTCACCCTACAGCTCATCGTACACCCCTTCGACCATCGCAACTTTGATATCCTCAATCGCATGGAAGTCCAGGGGTCAGTCAGCACACCCACACACGGACAGGCAACACCTGCCTCATAGAGATCATTCTCTCTCTGTGTTGGTGTTGGTGTCAGTTTGGCGATATGGACGGGCTCGATCCTGCTCATGCAGGTGGTGATTATCATCAACTGGAACAGCACGATCAACGCCGTGATTGTCATCATCGTGGCGGCCCTCAACATCGCCCACTACATCAACCTGGGCCTGCTCATCTCGCGACACTCGCTCGCACATGCCGCATACCAGTACACCAACGCCACCGCGGGCAAGCAGCGCGCTGCTGCTGGTACGAAGATGCAGTCAGTGTCTTCTTCATTCACTTCACATAGAAAGAAGAAAGACCCAACAGCAGGCAGCCATTGATATGGTTCAATGCTTGTGCAGGTCTGGGCATGATCAGCCCGCTGTTCGAGTACTTCATCCGTCAGGAGGAGAAGCGCCGCGAGGCCATGCCCAAGGTCTTCCTGGACTGGGCCACCGGCTACCTCGACCTGAGGCAGGGCCGCAGACGGTCCTCATCCGGCACTGGCACATCATCAGCCGCATCAGGGGTCGGCAGCGGGGGCGGTGGCCCGCCCAGCCCCACCCACAAAGACGACGTCACACCGAGGGCTAACACTCACTCCAACGGGAAGATGCCGACAGGGGAGCTGGGGGGCGAGACCACCCGGCTGACGCAGACCGAGTCGATGGCCACCGCCCGCCCGTGGACGCCCTCGGCCGCGCTGGCCATGTGGCGACGAAACAGCGAGAAGAGCGCCATGACCAAGCTCGCGTGGTGGTCAGTGCACTGCCGTGCCTTCGCACACACAGAGAGAGGTAAGGATGGCCCGACGGTACTGTGTGTGTCAGGTGCCCCCATGGCTTTGGGTTCAGAGGTGGGCTGACGTCGACGACTCTGGGGGGCGAGGAGGGGGCGCAGGACGGCCGGCAGCGGACGATGCCCAAGCTGCATGGCGGGGGCAGCGCCGCTGACGTGCGGGTGGGGGTGACGGTCGTCCGCATGACCGCACACGCCATGCAGGATGCCATCGAACTTCTGCAGATACACAAGATTCCACCTGGTGCGTGAGACTTTTGTGTGTGTGTGTGTGCATTGTGTTGTCTTGCGGATTCAACTTGTGTGTGTTGGTGTTGGTTCGTCTGGACAGATTTGTCCGAGTTTTTCTGGAGTCAGGCGTTTCTATTCCACGCTCTGCGAATGAAGATCGTCCAGGACAGGGAAGACCCCAAGAGTGAGGGCTGGCACACACACAGCTGGACACCCGTCAGGCACTAAATGAATGGCTGCCACATCTTGTGTGTGTTGCCTCTCATCTCATCAGAGGAGCAGGTGATCGTCATGCCCCACCCTCTAGACGAGAACACACAGGCAAGCAGACAGACAGACAGACAGACAGATAATGCGGGGGGCTCAGCCTTTCAAGGCATTCACATCCATGTCTCCCTCTCTCTCTGCTTTTGTCGCATGACATGGTCTGTCTCTCAGGGTCTGCGTCAGATGAGCAGTGAGGACCTCTCCCACGCCATCAAGGAAGTCGGCGGCACCGACCTCAAGCACGCCTCCCTCCTGCTCCAGGCCAAGAGCAACAAGATGAACAAATCAGAGGGACACCTCAGCCCATCCATCGCCCGCTCAAACCGACGCCGCGGCTCCTCACCCGCCACGCTTCTCAGCTCCCAACTTAACAAGGCCAGGACCAATGTCGACTCGGGCGGCGTCAAGGGCGACAACACATCTTCAGAGGGCAGCCGCTCGCCCCACTCGCCAATACGGTCGCGCGACAGAAGGCACACGCTCGGTGGCGTCGACTCCAGCCAGATGCGGTCGATATTTACCGAGACCGAGACCATGTTCGACATCCCGGCCGCCGTCACCGAGTCCATCTCCAGCCTGCCCGAGTCGACGACGGCCGAGGGTATGAGGGCGCCGCATGGTACGCCCCACGCTGTGAGCCACGCAGTGAGCATCGTGGACAGTCGCCGGAGTGATAGCCATGGGAGCCACCTGGGCCACGACGTAGATACTGAGGGCGGGGGAAAGGAAGAGGCAGCGGGGGTGTCGAAGAGCCCGAGCGTTCCACCTGCACGGTCAGCCAGCGAGCCACTGGCAGGCAGGCAGGCGGGCAGACGGACAGGCATTCGATATCTCTGGTGACTCTCTCTCTCTCTCTGTGTCTGTTGTCTGTCTGCAGCCATGGGTCCATCTATGGCGTCCCTCTAGACGATTTCCAGGCAAGCGCCAAAAACAGGCCAGGCCATCACGCAAAAGGATGCGTTGCATGATGTCTTCCCCTTTTCTTCTGCGTGTATGTGCAGTTGAACCTGTCGTATGTGGTAGACGAGCTGGTGACCCGCCAGCACCAGTACGAGAAGACCCTGCGTGCCCGTCGTCGGCACGGCGAGGTGGTGGTCGAGGACAAGGATAAGCCGGGCGGATGGATGGGCCTCTACCTCGCCTTCAGACAGGCCAAACAGAAACTCATTCAGGCCGGCACACAGCCGGTGAGGGAGAGAGAGGAACGAACAGGCATATCATGGCCATGAACACATTATTGGTTGGCTGCTTCAGGAGGATGTGCCGGCAGCGTTGGCGAGCTACGCGTCTCAGAAGGACTTCGCCCCCCCGAACATCGTCAACATTGCCATGCAGCAGTCGCCTCTCTCCCAGTCCTCACCTGCCGCAGCAGCGGCTGGCACTTTGGTCGGCACCAGCTACCCCGCCAGCGTCGCATCCAACGGCGCCAACGTCATCGAGCGCCCTCCGTTGGATGCGCGTTCCGTCTCGATGCCTCGACACCCCTTCTCCACGGTGCGGCTGCAGCCGACGTCCATGTCGTCCGACAACGTGGGCACCTACTACGGCACCTACCCCAACGAGATCAGAGGCAGCCTCTCGGGCTCCAGCAGCGGCATCTACGTCCCCAGCCTATTCCACGCCGGCTCGTCCAGTGGCTTCACCGAGTTTGCAGAGGCCGTCTACCGTGACGTCGGGCGCTCGGCCGCCATGCGCACAGCGGGCCAGGCGCAGTCCGTCGGGCAGCACCCCAAACGGGGCGGGAGCGAGGAGCGTGTTGACGTGCTGCAGCAGAGAGAGAAGGGGAGGGGGCGTGGCAAGGTCATGACACGCGGCGCGAGTGAGCCGGTGCACCAGGCTACTGGTGAGTACACCGACCAGGATGTGGCCGACGAGGACATGATCAAGTGGTCAGAGCTGGAAAGCGCGACAAAGGAAACTGAGGAGCCCGACAGCGGCCCCGCCAGCAATGGCCACGTGCCACTGCCATCCGAGAGACACCCCACCGTAAGCAGGGAAGAGCATGCACAGCAGAGGAGTACAATGACTGATTGCATGGTGTCTGTCTGTGATGTCTGTGTAGGCACTGGCCAACATCGTGTTGGAGGGCCTTCAGAGATTCGTGCAGGATGCCGACCGTCAGCAGCTGCGGGACATCCTCGGCAGCCGGTCGAACAGCAGACGGTCGCATGAGTCGGAGGGCACCACCCAGGAGCAGCAGACCAGCGCCACCAGCAGCGGCAACCGACGCACGACACCGCAGCGGTCGCCGCCACCAACCACCAGGGCCAGGGAGAAGTCACCCAATCCGAGACTCTTTGGCGGTCCCTGATGAGCAAGAGGGAGGGTTGAGGGGTGAGGGGGGTGCGGCAGGGTGTTTTGCTGATATATGTCACTATGTTATTTGGTTAATGCCTGAGGGCAGGTTGGGAGGGAAAGGTGGCTCGGTTGTATGGGCGTGCGTCCCTCTATCGATTGCTCTCAGAGCGATGCTTTTGTTGGTTATGGGGCAGGGGTGCCACACGCATAACCACATGCACATCTGTGCATCCACCCACATCACGATAGCACGATATCATGACCGACCGACGGATCGATGTCGATGTTATTTGTCGTGTGGTGTGTCCGTCCTGTGAAGTGTTGGTGTCTTGTTTGTTGTCGTTGTTGTTGTCCGGATCGGATAGACAGCTCAGCTGTGATGGATGTGAGAGACGTGCGTCTCTTTTTGGTCACAGATCTATCTAGCTAGCTAGACAGACAGACAGACAGACGAGAGAATATTATTGGTCATGCAGCGTGACGATGTGGTGTGGTGTGGTGTTGTGTGGCGTGCTGCATGTCAGGACAGCGCACACCACCTGTTGCATTTGTGCGGGCGGGCGCTGCGATGAGGGGCGGGAAGGCTTTAGGAGTCAGTGGTTTTATCGGATGGTGGATGTGCCATGGCGACTCAATTATACCCAAGACCGCGCGATACACTCGTATGAATGAATCAGATGATGACAGACAGAGGTCACAGTTACTAGTACGGTCAGGAAGGCATCAACTCCACGGGCACACTGATGCACGTCCGACAAAGCACACAGTGCACGCATGGCATGCACACATCCACCCACCCACCCACCCACCTACCCAGCTATCATCGACCGAAAAATCAGCCACAGAGGCCCACAAATGAAGCACAAACATCTCGACACCCATCCCGCAACCACCGCAAAAACATATTGACACATACATTCGTGACATCCCTCAAAAATACCGCTTCCAGCCCCTCTCCCGCTTCACCATATCCCCTCTCAACCCAGCATTGCCTGCACGCCTCTCAAGAGGCCGTCTGCCTCTCAGCCCCCTCAGCCCCGTGTCCACCCTCGGCTTGGCATCCCTCACCGCCCCTCCCGCCCACTTGCCCCGCCATGTCCGCTCCTCCTGCCGCCTGAGCTCCTCGACGGTTGGGATGGCCGCCTTGCCCAGCGACTTGACCCAGGCCCGCCGCCCTGGCTGGAGGTAGTGGAAGAGCCCGACGAGGTCCTTCTCACCGCCCTCCAGTGTCCCCCTGTCCTCTGCCGCTGGGGAGGTCATGCGATAGGCCATATCGCCGAGGACGTTGATGGTGTGGGGCAGCCAGGTGCTGAGGGCTGGCTCATGCTGGCGGTCCTGGAGGAGGCTGCCCGCCCGCTGTCTGCTGCTGTCGGTGAGGACTGGGCCGGCCTTGCTGAAGTACCTCTGGTGGTGGCGGCTCCAGCTGAGGCTGCGCAGCATATCGAAGCTGTGCCACTTCTGCTTGAGCTGCTCCTTGTCCAGGTCGCTGAGGTGCCTCCAGCCGAGCAGCTTGTCTTGCAGGCCCTCCTCGCACATCACCGTCTTGATGAAGTCCTCGCCCCTCATCACGTCGCCCATGTCCATGCCCAGCCCCCACAGTACCGCGGCCTCGTCGATGTAGATGCCCTGCTTGCCCTCCGCGTCTCGCACCATCACCCCCTTGAGCTTGAGGGTCTCCTCCAGCTCGTTGGCGGTTCTGATGGTAGCGAGGTAGCGTGAGTGCCACTCTCCGGCGGCGGAGCCGAGATGCGGTTGACGTCCTGGTGGCAGGAGCTCCCGCATCCGGTCGAGGAAGGAGTTGGCCTTCGCGCGGTTCATGCAGAGCGCCGTGTCGTTCCAGAGGTTGCCGCTGGTGTCCTCCTCGAAGCTGTGCTTGTACACCAGCTGCAGCTCGGGTGCGATGGCGCCGCAGGTGCCGACAGGCCATTGGTGGTGGTGCCGCTTGCCGCCTTCGTCGAGAGGGACGAAGGCCACCTTGGCCTTGTTGGCGAATGTCGGAGGGGGCGGGGGGAACGAGGGAGGGTGCCAGCCGAGGGATACCGAGTTGGCGAGGTCGATGAGCTTGGCACCCTCCGATGGGAGAGGGCCTGTCGATGTGGGGGTGGTGGCCGGGCGCTGGAGGCTGTGGGGCAGGTTGAGGTTGTCGAGCAGCTCTTTGCGGATGAACACATCCTTCTTGATGTTGTCCAGCCCGACGATGCCGTGCCGCACAGCCGCTCTGTGGGCGCGGATGGTGAGGAGGAGGGCGAGCACGAGGCGGGAGAGGTCTTGCCGAAGTGTCGTGGCATCGCGATGGACCAGTGCCTTGAAGCTGTGGCTGCGCAGCAGGCGATTGAGGTTGACCCACTTGTCGCCTGAACACACAAACAGGATAGAGGAAAGAAACCAATGAGCTGCGTGTGTGAGTGCTGCCCACGTGTGAAAACATTACACGTACCTGACAGCAGCTCCATCGCGATGGCCAGACACTTCTCCTCCCTAATCCTCCCTTGCTCATCTCGTGTGATGAGCGTGGCCGGCGGGTCCTTGGTGGTGTGTCTGTAGCTGGTGTAGATGGCCACGAATGGGCTGTGCTGTGACGAGAGGTGGCCGGCTCCTCTGACAGCCCTCAGCCGTCGCTCCTCCATCTGGGCTGATGTGAGCTGCTGCTGCGCCCAGGCGGTGGAGTGGTCATCCGGCAGCTTGAGCAGCTTGATGGCTGCGGGGATGGTGGTGCCGGTGGGGCCGGGGATGAAGGCTACATACACATTGGCACTCGAGCCGATGTCGAGGAGCTTGGTCAGCTCCAAGTCTGGGGTGTCGCCGGGCAGCTGAAGGATGGGCAGGGGGGCTGTCATCGTTGAGTGGATGGGGCTGAAGATCTCAGTCGTCGGTCGAGTAGAGGCGCTCGGACGACTCACAGATGAGCTCTTCTCGTCGAAAAGAGCCGAGACAAGAGCCCGAGCGATCCGGTGGGGGCGAAGCGCGCAGCAGACGACAAGGCAAGAGCGAGTTGAATGGTGTTGGAAGGCTGAGAGAGATGATTGGATGTGGTTCGGGTCGCCAACAGATGGCAAGGATGGATGCGCAAGACCTTGGCCAAGAACGTCCGATGAGCGGTTGATTTGCCTGACGGACAGAAACAAACAGCATTGAGCCAAGGACGCTCGTGGCGTGGGTGTTTGCTGCTTTCCCGGCAGATGGAGGGCTCCGTGGCAATGAATGAGTCGATGACGACCAGACGATGGGCTCAGAGCAGCCACTGAACCAGCCAAACCTCAGAAAGGGCTGCCAGGCATCGAGCAGTGGTGCTGGAAGTCACCGCGGAACAGCCACTATCATCACTGCAAAAGGGAGTCAGTCATCAGTCACTCACGCGCACGAAACCATCATTCACAGCATTGCGATGGTGTCTGTTCGTCTGTCCATGGTAAGCATCTTCACTACAAAGCAACGAAGGTGTCACTTGCACCGCCCTGTCCGTCTGTGTCAGGCCATCGAAGCGACGAGCACAAGCAAACCATCGCTGAGTCAAGCACAATGAGGTACGGCACATGGGAGGTGTGGCTGTTGCTTCACCAGTCGTCAGAGAGGCCGCCCGACAAGCACAAGCGACGGAGCTGCGTGAAAAAACCAAAGCAAAACGATGGTGATTCTTGTCTGACAGTGGTGATGGTGTGTTGCATGATGTGTACAGACCGAGAGGAGGGCAAAAACGATGAAAACAACCCCAACGCCATCCTCGAAACAGTGATCGTCACTCGTAAACAAAAACGGTGAGTCACGAGGCCTTTTCTTCGCCCCAAGTGTGTTGCTTTGCTCTGTGTGTGTACAGGCCTGTGAGGTCGACTGCGTCGCTCACAAGAACGGGAAGCAAACAGACGAGGTACCACGAGATGGAGGCATGAGCGTGCGTGACGATGGGCAGTGCGTATACGCACTTATTCGCTCTCTCGCGACGTGTGTGTTCGTTTTGGTCTGTGTGCTGCTGCAGGAATACGCAGGAATACGTGTGCGAGCGTGCGCGAGTGGAAGCTGCCGCGTGTTCTTGAGGGTGGGGGTCGTGGGTCTTGGCGCATGAACGCACGAGTTCTTGTGTGGGTGTGCGTGTGTGTGTGTGTGTGTGTGTGTGTTGTATATGCGTTATATGTATTCAGGTGGCAGCCTGATCATGACCCCATCTTCCTTCATCTTCCTTCGCGCGTCTTTGGATGCGTCACGGTGTTGCTGATCTGACGCACGGACGTATCCAAGATACCGGCCGACGTCGCGGGATGTGATTGCCTGGACGAGTAAAGAGCTTGCGAGTGCGGGTGTTGGACCCGATGCCGTCCCGGGCACACTGGGCGAGCTGCGGCCGATGGACCGGTTGGCCTTCGGGGCCTTGCGGCAGTTGGCGGCGGCGGGCAAGATCAAGATCAAGAATCCGAGGAGCATAGTGTGCCTGCTGATGACATGGAGGAGCTGCTGACAGCCGTGGGTGGGGAGAGGGCTGTCGAGAGCGTGGATGTCAAGGTGCGCGGGAAGGGGCGGGAGCTGCCGTGGGGCGAGGACGCTGAGGCCATCCCGACCCATCACACAGATGTCTGTCGAGCTTACCGGTGGGTGGGATGGTGGAGGTGACAGACACAAACAATTACGGGCCGACAAATCGTTACATGCTTCCTCATCCATCCATATCCCTTATGTGTGTGCAGTGCCGGATGATGCGAGTGCCGCCTCGTTTGTCCACCGGAGCCTGGCATCGATGGTCAACAACGTCCGCGGCCTGCAGACGGTCACCATCCAAGTCGGCTGCCTCGACGGCTTTGTCGAGCAGATGAAGGCCCTGTGCCCCACGCACACCATCGGCAACTTCGCCATCGAGTTGGGAATGGCCGGCACTGTCAACGCACACCTCAAGACTTGGTGAGTTGTTGGGTGGGTGGTGATTTGCCCCGTCGCTATCTGTCAGTGATCCTGGGTGTGTGTGCTTTCGCCTGTGTGTGCCTGCAGGACGGAGGTGCCTCTGCTGCATGTGTATCTGACGATTCGTTCCTGCATTGCACGTGAAGTGTTTCGTGTCAATAAGCTGCTGCCCCATCTAGATGGCGCAGGCATCCTCCTGCGCCCCAGTTGGCCACGCCATCGATCATGCTATACACACACCAATGCGCACGTCTGTCTGTCTGCAAACACCCCATGCGCTAACCATGACTGCGGCGCCCATCCATCCATCCATCCATCCAGTCATTCCATTTGGCCATCTAGACTACCTGCCGGCATCTGACCCTCGCAAGGTGTAGGCAGTCCGTCATGCCATGCAGCCAGACACATGAAATGCATCCATCCCATCGGTCGATCACTTCACTTGGACCCGTAGTCCTTCATCCACTGTGCGAACTTCTGCATGTCCTCCTCCCCCACAGACTTGTGGCAGCGCTTAAGCGCCTCCAGGAAATCCTGCAGGTAAGATACACACACCACACACACTTCTGTGTGTGTGTGTGTGCGTGTGTGTGGGTGTTGTTACCTCGTGGCGGATGGGGAGGTTCGTGCACTCTGCCTGTAGCTGCCGCATCTGCTCAGGTGTGTAGCCCTCGCGCCTGCACCGCATCCACGTGGGCACACACAGCCAGTCGAGTCGGTCTTCACGATTGATGGTGTGGTAGTCTCCCCTCACCTGGCCGCCTGGACGCGTGTGCGCATGCCCATGAGTGCGGCGTCGCGACACACAGACGCCACGTCAGCACCCGAGTAGCCGTTCGTCAGCTTCACCAACTGATAGACAGGACAGACACACCACACACACAGGCTTAAGCAGCATCAGTCTCCCGTCTGTCTGTCTGTCTTGGGTGTCCTCATCCCCGACCCCCAGGCTTGGCTTGCCTCATCCCACTTGACGGCGTCGTCGACTTTGACGTCCTTGAGGTATATCTTGAACAGCAACTCACGACCCTGCTGCCCCAGAAGCACACCATGAGGATGCCCTCGTGCTCCCCTTCCTCTCGCACCGTACCGTGGCGGATGGCAGCGGGATGTATATGCGCTTCTCCAGCCGACGGCGGAGTGCCTCGTCCAAATCCCAAGGACTGTTCGTTTCGGCCAGACCCATGATAGACACACAGTCAATCGACGCACACACAGATATTCACTTAGCCGTCTCTCCTGTGCTGCGTGTGTGTGTGTGTGTGTGTGTCACTCGCTAAGCTCACCGGTTGGTAGCGGCGAGGACCATGACGATTTTGGGTTTCTCGTCCGACCTCGACCCGTCCGATGGGGCCGGGGTGGACGACACGCCGTCCATCTGACAAAATAGAATATCGATGGATGAGCAATGTGGCGTCTTGGTGTGTGGCTGGCCTGGCTCCGTGAGTGAGTGCCTTCCTGCCTGCCTGGATGAGAAGCTCTGATTTGACGCGCCGGGATGCCTCGTGCTCGCTCGGATCGCCTCGCTTCCTGAACCACACACACACATCCAAGAGAGGCAGGCAGGCCTCTGTCTGTCTGTCTGTCTGACTGACTGATGGGATGTGTGTCCACCCAGCCCACCCAGCGATGCCGTCTATTTCGTCGAAGAAGATGGTGGTTGGCGCGTAGAAGCGGGCCATCTCAAACAAGATCCGGATCTGTGTGGGAGTGATACAGATCGACAGACAGACAGACAGACAGCCGTCTCGCATATCATGGGTCGCTCCATGGAGAGATGCTCACGTACGAGTTTCTCTGAGTCTCCTCGGTATTTGGATGCGAGTGTGGACGCGCTGATGTTGAAGAACGTCGTGCCGCACTCCGTCGCTACCGCCTTGGCCAACAGCGTCTTGCCTGCAGTACACGCATCGCATCAGACACACAGATGGTCGCACCAGCTGTGTTTGGGCTCCTTCGTCGCTGACTCACCTGTTCCCGGTGGCCCGAACAGGAGCACGCCCCGCCACGGCCGACGGATGCCCTGAAATGAGAGATGAAATGGCGGATGGTGGGGGCTGTGTTGTGTGTGGGTGTGTTGTGTTGCCTGGAAGAAGTCGGGCATGTGTATGGGCAGCACGACGGCCTCCTCCAGCAGGCGCTTGGCCTCGTCCAACTCGGCTATGTCACTCCACTGGACCTGAGACACACACAACATGGCCATAACGTCCGTCCATTCATCCGTCCACCATCCATCCATCCATCAAGGTGCGGTGCGCACCTTTGGGTTGTTCTCGATGCAGTCCCTCTCAATCATGGTGATGAGGTCGGCATCCGGGCCGTCCATCCTCTCCCCATACACGTGGTACATGAACTTGGACCGGTCGGCCTCCGTCACCACATGGTGGGCCCCATCCCGCCCGTCCATCCCCACCCCCGCCCCTCTGCCCATCGCCGCAGCTATCACGGGGTGAGCCGGCTGCAGCCAAGGCTTGGCGTAGTCGCGCCGCTTGCTCTCCTTGTCCCTGCTGTCTCTGTCAGCTACATCCTGTGTCTGTGTCTGTGTTTGCGTCGGCCCACCAGCGGCAGCGTTGCCCGCTCGCCTGCTGCCCATCGGCGTCACGCTCCGCGACCGCATCATCGGCTCGTCCTTGTGTGCCTGCTGCTGCTGCTGCTGCGGCTGCTGCTGGTTGGGTCTGCCCGTCCGCTCCATGGGCCCCCGCCTGCTGCTGCCCCAGCGCTCCTTCATGCCACTGCCCTGTACACCGCCACCGCCAGCAGCAGCTGGCCGCCTGCTCGCAGGGCCGGAGGGGTTTGGTAACGCATCACGGCGGATGCTGTGGGGTGTGGGCAGGGGCACGGGCGGGGGGACGGCACGCCTGTCGTGGTGTTTCGACAAACCATCCGGCGGCTGCCTTCGGTCAAGAGGTGAGGGCCTAGATTGTGCCAGTGGTTTCCTCGGCCCCCCTCCCCTGATGGACGCCGACGCCTCGCTCATGGCGAGTTCGTGGTCGTCGAGTGTCCTGTCGCTGTCGGTGTCTGAGCGTGTGGAGGGGGAAGCGACGGGCTTCTTGGCGCACTGCGTCAAAGCCTCGCTGAGTAGCCGCCGCTCAGACTCGATCTCCTTGGTCTTGCGGCACAGCGCGTGCAGGTCCTCCTTTGCACGCATCAGACGGCCCCTAAACACACAACAGCAGCGCACACATGCGCGGGCGAATGAAGCCGGATGGCCTCTCTCTCCCTCTCCCTCTCCCTGTGTGTAGCATTACTTGTCAATGGGATCTTTCATCTGCGATGTCAGCAAGGTGATGTGCCTCACAGCACCGTCCACGTAGGTCTGCGAGGCCTCGTAGTGTCCAAGGGCAGCGTGCTGGTATGCCTGCTGGATCTCTGCGGCGAGCTCGGCAGGGATCATGCCGCCCGTCGGGGGAGCAGCCGGGGAGGCCGATGGGGCGAGGGCAGGCACCGTCAGATACGGATACCGACCTGCAGCGCGGAGATGAGATCAGACACAACTGAAATGAATGCATGGATGGATGGTTGGCGCAGGAAACGTCCAGACATCTCTTGTGTGGAGGGGTTCGTTGGCTTACCGGCAGCATCATGGCTGGACATAGGGAGGGCCCCACAAAGCCACCGCACGCCAGCAAAGAGGCAACCTCAGTCAGAAATCAGCGACTGGTCGGTGTCAGCAAGAAGCGACTTCAGAAGCCTGTCTGCCGCCCATCTCACAAGCTACCACATCCTCGCAAACGGCCGTATTCGACAGAATTGCCGGCTCATCCGGCGATCCAGCGGGCCGCCGCGTCGTCAAAACGGAACGTGATTCATCTACTTTGGCATCTACTTTGGTCTGGAAATGAAGTCACAACAACACAGGAACCATCTCCCTTTTCGGCGGCTTTTCTTGATCTTCATCGCCACTTCATGGACTGCGGCATCTGCGTTCTCTTTCCCTGCTTCTCGCCCGCAGAGAGGCAGCTGGAGGCAGCTGACGATGCACAGCAACGTTCCGCCATCGGCAGAGGTGATGCCTCGAAGGCACTTGTTTGATCTGAAGACCGCTGCGGCACTGTCGGCAGTGGGCGGCGCGTTGCTGGGCGGGTCATCTGGTGCTGATGCAGCGAGGCGTGAGGGCGTCAACAAGCCCGAGCTGCTGCCCACTGGTGACAAGGTGAACGTCATCGACCTTGCAGGGGTACCCCAAGCGGAAAGGCAGCCGTGACTGTCTGACTGTCCGGCTGGCTGCGAACTGACCGACACACGCGCATTCTCTCTCTGTGTTTTGTTGATGTGTGTGCAGTTTCTGACGTCTGGTGAGGAGAGGCGGCTGGAGCGTCTGACGAAGGAGATGGAGAGTGCCACGGGCATAAAGCTGCGGATCTTGTGTCAGGACTACCCACAGACGCCCGGCCTGGCCATCAAGGACTACTGGGGCGTGGACGATAAGACCATCGTACGACAAAACCATCGTGCTCCATGATGAATTCGCCTGTCTTGAACATGTCCCACCTGTGTTGATGACCCCCACAGGTGATGGTTGTCGACAAATCGTTCTCTGGTCGGTCACGCGGACACACACATATGGGTGGATGGGTGGACGAATGCATGGATTGGTGAGGGTCCTGCTGAGATGTTTGATGTGTGTGAGCCTGATTCCAGGGAATCTGCTGAATTTCAATGTGGGTGGCGACCCTGATCTGCAGCTGAAGCTGCCGTACCGATTCTGGCAGAGGATACAAAACAAATACGGAAACAAGTAGACCGACATACAGAGAGAACACAGGGGGGCATAATGCACCGACCCAAACACACACACACACAATATTGGCCGTCTACGTGAGTGTAGGTACAACGTGGAGCAGATGGGTGGCGAGGACCGGGTGATCCTCAAGACGGCCACGGCCATCAACTACTGCCTGAGGTCTAAGGACTACTGCGTTGACATTCCTTCAGACTCGGAGCTGCCAAAGCTGTGATGGAGGTGGGACAGCGACGTGTACTGACTGTAAGTGAGCCTACTCACAGCCTCTGCCTGTCTCTCGACCGCCATAGTCTCAGCTTGAGAGCACCGATCGAGCATTAACAGAGAGACATGTCAGCACGGTTTTTCGGTAGCGGCATGGCAACTGTGGCAGGCCGTACTTGTGAGTGCATGTGACCAGTCTTATTGACGGAGACCGACAGACGTATCCATGTCAGTCAATACATGAGCGTGTAGACACACCTACCTACTCAGACAGACACTGAATCATGTACGCCTACGATATATACGGCCAGTGAGCCACCGAGCGGATAGATAGAGAAACAGCAGCTTATCCATCAGATCAGGTACATAGCAGCGCAGTACACCCTTGCACTCATGGCATGGCTGCCCTGACACAGTGCGATCGATACACATGTGCGACGAATCAATCAGCCCACACACTTGCATGTAGACAGACCCACACAAAGACAAAGCGCAGAAGAGAAGAAGACATTCACTCCGCTCATCTTACTTACTGCTGGCTGACTCCGTCCGTGGTCGAATGAATCAACACACGACAGACAGACAGGTACAGACTACGCAAATACCGAGCTATTTATTACACGAAGATACGTACGTAGTACTCAAATAGCGAAAAATGCGCACCACACTCGTGCAAACGGAAAAAGACACGCCTACATCGGAAAAAGTGTGCATATCGTGGCATGCTCTCAGGGAAAATCGTGCATGCGATGGATGGCACGTACATATGTGGCCTGGTGGTTTCTGTCTCCAGCGGGTGCGATTGATCGATCGACACACGTGTGTATGTATGTATCAACCACGCCCATAGTCGAGCGACGAGGTCGCCAGCTCCGCTTCTTGTGGGTATGCCCTTCGGCTGCTCAGCGCACGGAAAGCTGCCGGGCCGTTGACGAATCCAGCACCTGTGGGCACGGCACACAGGGAGGGAGGGAAGGAAGGAGAGACACGAACGAACATTCAACACATCCACTATCTACCGACCGACAAGCCAGTCGACATACGTACGAACGTATGTACCTGTCTTTTCGTCAATGCCCACATCAAAGCCAGGGGTGGCGGGGTCTGCAGTTACACACACACATACACATATCCATCCATCCATCCATGTGTCCCTCCCTCTGGTCCTTTCACGCTGAGCATACATACCATTCATGTCGTCAGCCGTCTCCATCAGCAGCATCTGGATCTGTCTGGGCGTCAGGGATGGGTCTTTCTCTCGGATCAGTGCGGCCAAGGCAGCCACATGGGGCGCACTCGCAGAGGTGCCGGAGAAGTCTAGACAGAAAGAAATAACGAAAGAAGGATAACAGCCACACTCACGTGGCTTGGCTGCCCGGCCGTGTGTGTATCTGCGTGCTATCTGCTTACTTGGATTGCCGTCGCCATCAAGGTCGACGTCAGGGAGGTAAGACCGAGAAGGGAAGAAACGCGTGTTGGCGCCTAGAAATGACGCGGCAAACACCACGACCAGTCAGGCAGGCAGGCAGGCACAGAAACACGTGCATGGGTGTCAGTGTCTCCGTTGGGCGCCTGTGAATCTACCTACCGTCGGGTCCAACGAATTTGACCACCTGACGCTCGATGGGCGGGACGATGCGGCTGCCGTTTTTGCGAAAGACCAAGGGGAAGGAGCCTGACAGACGTACAGCATGAGGCCATTCGTGTGACGTGTTGATCGATCGATCGATGCTCGGAATGTGTGTCCCTGCCTCGCGATGAGAAGTCGTTGACGAGCGGGGGAGCCGTGCCAAAGTTGGTCGTGTTCTGAGTCACACCAGCACCCCCACACACATAAAGCATACCGAGACGCACGACTACTCCGAGTGCGCGTGTGTGTGTATGTATGTATGTAGGTGTGTGTGTGTGTGCATAAGCCCTTCAGGTACAGCCACTCACAGCGTAGAAGGACGCCCCGACGGCACTCGCGCCTTGTGCATTGCTGTGGCCAAAGGATGTGGGGCTGGTTGACCTCGTCGGCAGCACGGCGTCATTAGCCATGTCAACAAGGGCGATCAAATTGGGGTCCGGGCCAGGACTGCATCCATCCATCCATCCATCCACCACATGAATGGCCGTGCGTGTGTGTGCATGGGTGCTGTCTGTACGGGGTGCCAGCCTGCTTGGGAGGTATATATTTGCCGATGCGAAGATTCAGCTCCAGTGGGCTGACGAACGGGTTGATGATGGGCAGTACCTCCACTGGATCCGCACCGAAACTAGTTTCCGCCCCAATAAACAGCAGCTGCAGCGGGCGGCTCCTGTCATATCTGATAACAACCGTGGTGTGGGTGAGTGTGAGTGTGAGTGTGAGTGTGTGTCTGTGTGTGCACTGTGTCCGTTGCTCTTCACACATACACACATACATGAGAATGTCGAGGTCTGTTAAAGCGCCTGGGGGGCCAAACACCGTGAAGTGCGGCTGGTCCCACTGCAGCACAAACAGTGACATCACGCCGGGCCCGAGCTGCATACATACATACATGACAGCACAGCGCAGGGGTGTGCGGTTGGTCAGTGTCACTGTCATCATACATACCGTGAAAGGTAGGTCGATGCTCCCTGTCTCTTTGAAGCGATGGAATTCGTACGTCACCGTTGACCCTGAACGGACGAAAGAAGCCAGTGGGGAGGGAGAGGCTTGGCGCGACGCGCGAGAAGACGCGCATTCACACACGTACCATCGGGCAAGGTGACATCCGTCCTCCTCCCAACGTTGTTGAAGCGCCCGAACAGACTGCAAGCATGTGCAGCATGCATGTGGCATCCGCCTTTCCCCCTGTTGGTGCTCACCCTGGAGTGCCCGTATTCCCCGCAGCCGAGTAGTATGCGGTGCCTTTGGCTGCCACCTTGTTGACGGCCTGCCCCACGATGCTGCAAGTGACATGATACACGGTGTGTGAGAGTCTGTGCGTGTCTGTGTGGGGATTCTGTACCCTGTTGCAAAAAACGGTTCTGCAGAATATATGATGTCGTCAACCGTCACACTGCTGGCAGACACACAGAGAGGCACATGTGTACCCAGAAAGCAAATGTGACGTCTCACTCACTCAGCTCAGTCCTTACCATTTCGATTCGGAGGTAAGCCGCTCGATGCCTGCATGCAGGTCGACACACTCCTTATGCACACACGTACTGTAGACCGATACATCACATCAAGTCAAGTGACGGCTGGTTGCCGTCTACCTCTGGCGAAATTAGCCTGCCATTGATCAATCCATCCATTCTCGGCTCAGCAGTGATCCGTGAGTGTCAGTCAGCGCACCTGCCCTCCCTGGGCTGTATGGAAAGCCAGGGCCGGGATGCCGGGCACCACGTCAAATCTGTCGGAACAAGAAGGTGTGCTCACATATGCCTAACTGCAGACATACATACACACACACATGCGTACATGAGTTCGGCAATGCCGCTTCCTTCATCGGTTGGCTCGACTCCTTCCTCCATATCGAGCACCTCATCGATGTCCTGTCATCACACCCATGCCACAGACATACAGACAAACAGCATATGCACACCCTCACCCTTGACAGCATTTCTTTTACCTGCAAGACGATGATGTTTTCGGGCAGGTCCCCACTCGCAATCAGCTTCTCCTGCCTCCCCAAAAAGTTGAACGAGTCGCTCAGAATCCCGATGCAGCGGAGCGTGGAGCCGTTGACGGCAAAGGTGTCCCTCACAATATCGGTTCCCATCGCCTTGTCGCCCTCAGAGGTCACCAGACCGCTCTTGGAGCTCGGCGCACTCGGGCCACCACCACGCCCCTCTCTCCCTGCTCTCGGCTCTCTCGCCAGTGAGCTGACAATGGGGCGGGCGCCATAATGTGGGTGTGTCCGACTGGTTGGCCCGATTTTTGCCTGGGCAGCACGGAGCACGCGCACGGCCTTGATCCTCGTGAGGTCGCCGATCTTGCCATACCTGCACGTGCGAACATGGCAGAAAGGCAGACAGACAAACACAAACAGGCCGACTGGATGGCTGGAGGTTTGTTTGTTCGTCTTGAGTACGGCAGCAAGGCGCTGATGACGTGCTGATATCGGGCGACCTTCGTGATGCCCATCCGCTGTAGCCGCCTCTCGAGGCTCTCGATGCCGCCCTCCTGCCTGAACACCCACGGCATGATGGTCATGTCCACGATCACGCCCTTCGTGGTCGCCTGCGTGTGGGTATCCCGCATGAAGCGCCGCAGCTTCTCGCTATCGCGGAAGAGTCCCCTGAATGTTTGGAAGGTGGTGGCGAAAGCCACTCCTTTGCTCACGGCGAAAGGGTCCACAGGCAGCTGCTTGCCCTTGAGAGCCTCATGAAGACGCTTCAGTGCACACAGACACAGAGAGACCAGACAGTCAGAGAAAGTGGTTGGCTCGCCTGCCTGCCTGTTCAAGATGCAAGAAATGTAGGGTATAGAGTGTGTTATCGATGGAGAGATCCTTGGCCTTTGTCAGCCGCTTCAAGTCCACATCGACAGTCTCAAGGACAGTCTTGGCAATAGGCGCCACCTCGTCAACAACCCGCTTTTTGCTTTGTGTGTCCGTGCTCGCAACAGGCTTTCGCAGCGTCTGTTGTGCGTGCGCCGTGATGCAGCAAGCAGCAAAGAAGAGACAGAGATGCCGCATCGGCGCCTTGTCGGCCGTTGGTGGCAGTTAGGCTGGTGAATCCTGGCCGACGACAGCCGAGCGAAGAAACGCAGGATGCCGGCTGCAAAGTGCGAGTGCGTTCAAGCGAGATGGCCTGAAGAAAACGCCGAGTGGACTCAGTGACGGCCACAGAATGAGTGAGCCCACTCACGGTCTCTGGTTGTGAGCATCGAGCATGAACAGAGAGAGATGTGAGCACGGTTTTTCGTAAGCGGCATGGCATCTGTGGCCGTATTGATGATACGAATGAGTCAAGACACACATACACACACTCTGGCTGTGTCTGACATGCACCGGCATGCCAATCAGAAACACACACACAGAGACCAATCATGGCAAAAGGACAACCATCAGCTATCAAGCCATCAAGCAACCATCCGATGCACTCACTGATTGGAACATTCATGTCAAGCACACAGTGTGTACACAGCCACACAAGCTTGTCAGCCTCCCACTTACATCCCCTCCATCCTCCCCCGCGCTCAGAGCATTGGAATCAATCCGACCCGCTTCCTGAAGACACAGACACGTCCATTAGCTGTGCATCCGAAGCATGAATGTGCCTCCCAGCCCTCCCTCCCTCCCCTCTCACCCGTCAGAAAGTAGGAAGGGCACGTGTACTTCAGTGACGTACCGAAAAGCACCTCTTGCTCATTCAGTGAGGGCACAATCCACGTGATGCCCGTATCTCTCTCCCTCCTTGTCATTGCCTGTGACGGTCTAGTCCTCCCCCCAGCCGCACCCCGCAGCCACACACACACTTGTACGATGGTGCTGGACTGCGGGTGGCCGAAGGATAGCTCACGGCGAGCTGCACATAGGTCGATCTTGTCCTTGTCTGGGTAGCGGGAGTCTGGCTGGGGAAGGACAGTGCCGCGCTTGGTGCACTGATAGCACCAAATCTCTTGCAGCCGGCCGTCCATCGTCACAGCAATGAAGAAATCGAATGTCGGGAAAGAGTGCCCCTGCAATACGAATGCTGCGTGCCCCGTCTTGAGCTGTGTGTGCCACTCAAGATGAGTTGATAGCCATCCCGTTTCTTCGAGAGCTGAGCCGAGGATATCATCAGTGCTGCTCCAGGTGCCACTCGAAATGTGTCCTCCAAATTGACACCCCGGCTGCTGCACGACGACTTCGGGCAGGAGGTCAGTGAGCTCTGTGGGCATGGCTGGGAGGCCCTGAGAGCCTTGGCCCTTGAGCAACATATCACTCTGAAAACACACACACACACACACACACACACGTACGCACGCCCGCGCGCATGAACCATGTATATACCTTCCCCTGACCTGTATCAGTCGCAATAGAACCGCTGCCGCACAAGATCCCTCCCACTCCTTGCCCGACTCATGGATGCTGATGAGACGCCCCAAATTGTGCGCGATGACATTTAAACCCTGACGCACATGCACGCCGAGCCTGCGTTCGAGGGGGTAGAGAGATAGGCTTTTGAAGACTCCAGAGAGATAGCATGCAGGCCACACGTGGAGGACAGGGCCCTTCTGTTGTCTGCTCGACGACTCCTCTTCAGCCTTGGTGCCCTCTGACTGTTGCCTCTCCCCTTCCTTGAAGACGTCCAATAGCTTAGACCATTCCTTGACGGTATCGCAGCTTGGCTGGTTCCCGTTGACGGCTGTTGTCAGGACGCACCGCAGGAGATTGACCGCTGCATCGGGTTCATTGGCTGCCGGGCTGCCCCATAGAAGCTGAACCTTTGCATCGAGGGGCTCCTTAGTGTGACGCCAATCACAAATTAATCCAGGGGACCTACCGGCCCAGCAAACCTCGCCCGGCTTCGCGCGAAGGAGGCTCCGCACGTGGCTGAGGTCTTGTTCGTCGATAACAGGGAGCTGCGGTTGGAGCACTGGCCTGTTGCTGTCAGAGGCAAGGAAGTCGTTGAGGCTGCTCGAAGTGGCGGCGACGTGGGTGGTAAAGACAAAGTACCGGTTTTTTCTGAGCAAGAATGTGCTCTTCAGGTACTTGCCGAGTTCTTGGTACTCACTGCTGTCCCTCTCAGGACGCACGAACTCTAGAAAGAAACAAAAAGACACATGCATGAGCCGTGCATTCTAAACATACAGTGCACCCCTGCCATCCTTACGATTTAGCTCGTCGATCAGCAGCACACATGGATGAGACGACAGCCAGGCATCGACGGTCTCTTGATCGACGTTCGCGTGGCTGGCGAAGTGATCGAAGTAGAGATCAGCCACGTCTTCACCAGCTGCCTTGGCCACCTTCTCTTTCAACTCATCTTTTGCAGCAGCCCACGCAAGTCGCATGAGCAGCGGCCGTGTAGTGGTGCCTTCCCTCCGCTTAAGAGCGGTCTGGTCGCAGAAGCCTATGTAGATAGGGCTGAGGCCCTCTTCCTTCAGCTTGCGACCGACCTGTGCAATAAGCATGCGATCGAGTCGAGTCAAAAGGGAGGGGTTGCACGGCGGGACTTTGAGCGAATCGACTCAATCCGTGTACCTCCGTGAGCATGCGTGTCTTGCCGCCACGGGAGAAGCGGGTCAGGGACATTGGCGCCACGCGATGGTCGGTGAAGTCTGTGGCTTGTCGGTACTCAGGCAGCAGAAGTGCATACACCTTGTTGACCGCTGATGCCCCGATGAACTCCGGAGGCTCAGATATCTCCAATTCCGGCAGCGGGACATCAGCGGGGAGGTGAAGGTCGCTCACTGTCACTTGAACGGGCTCTGCACACACATGTCACACACACGTCCGTGACCTGCCCTGTCTGTATGTGCCTTCTCGTGTCGTATACGTACCGTCCAACTTCCTTTTTTTGGACTGAGCAGCTTCACTCATGCTGTACGTGGCAGGGAAAACCGGTTCACGCGTGCGTGATCTGGCAGCAGGAGATCTGCAAGATGCAGCAGTTTCAGACTCGCAGACAGAGGGTTTCAGACAGAGACCGTTTGCGAGCTTGGCTTAAGTTCTCGCCCGGACGACGTCTTCCATCGGCACACAACGCAGAGAGAGTGCGCGTCAGTCAATCAAACCACATCAACACCTTCATGATGATTGATACGACTGAGTCAAGACACGCATATGCTGTGCGTATCCTGGCCGGATCTGCGTCGGTGTGTATGTGTCCTCACAGCTGTCGGCACACGTCCACACACTCTGGCTGTGTCTGACATGCACCGGCACGCGAGTCAGAATAAACACACAAACAGACAGACCGCCCCAACAACGGCACCCATTACTCATCAAGCCGTCAAGCAATCACAATCCGATGCGATGCACTCACTGCACTCACTTCACTCACTATATACCATCCAGTAACCAGACCTCTGTCTATCAGACTACCCTGCTCCTTCTCTCAGCCCTCTGCACAACCTATCTCTGTATCTATCTACATCCCGCCAGACAGAGAGAGAGGGGCATATCTTGCCCCATTGTCGCGCCGCTCCCTGGTGGCTGAACAGCACCTCAGCCGCCTGCTGGGTGCTGTGCTTGGAGAGGTCGGTCAGTTGCCGGGAGACGAAGGTCTGGTTCGCCCGCCTGATGACCACCATCATGTGCAGCTAAGCTGCCTCCTCCTCGGGCGGCGGGTACAGCGATGGGTTGATAAACGGGATCAGCGCCAGCGTGATCACGTGCGCACCGTACCTGCATTGCATTACATCCATCCATCCATCTACGTCACCCAGCGAGAATGACACAACACACACGACAGACACATCACGGTGTGAGTGGTGTTCCTTACTGGATGCGGTCGATGGCACCGTGTGTGAGCACGCCGACCACCCCCAGGCCCCGCTTGACGTCAGTAGTGCCGAAGACGTGGTCGCACGCATAGCCCAGCTCGACGCCAGCTTTGACCCGCTCCGCAATGCCTGCACACACAATCACACCACCGGGCCACCACAAAAGAAAATGGGCAAGGTGCGTCGTCCGCATCTGTGTCCACAGATGCAGCCATCCATCCATGTGTTGTGTGGTGTGGTGGGATGGAGTGCGTCCCTCAGGCTCTACGAGTAGCTCTCATCGACGAATGCGTCTCGGGTAGATAAAGAACCTTAAGTGTCTTATCATCCTCAGGACCACCCGCCCACCCACCCACCCACCCACCCCAGTGCACACACCCCACCCACTCACTTTGTGGCAGCGTGAAGCTCCCCGAGCGCGCCCATTTCGTGTTGTCTTTGTCGGCCACCACGCCCCATGAGAACACACACAGGCCCCACTCTTGCCAGAAACACCCGCCCTCCACCGCACACCAGTAGTCGGCGTCAGGCCGCTTGCGCTTGGCCTCACACACACGGTTCTTAGCGCCCTGCAGAGTCTCCTCGTCACCTGCAGGTCACGATGCATTGCATGCCAGCAGCCAAACAAACACGCCAGTGGATGGAGAAACGTGTTCGTGTCTGTGTTGATGCACTTCACGCAACCCACCGAACGGTTGATCTGCCACCCCGGTGTCCACAGCAATGCCCTCCACCTCGATAGATCTGCCGCTGAAGTGCTCGAGGGACGAGAAGGCCCGACGGACGGACTCTATCTTGGCGCTGTTGGTGGATCCTACTACGATGCGCAGCGGGGAAGGTGCTATCGACGTCTGATGATGGTTCATGAGGTTTCCTCAGGATACCATTCGGGTTTAGGGTTCCTAAACCCTAAACCCTATTCGCCTGAATGCACTCTTCCCCGCTTTGGTCGACCGTGTGTCGGGAGGAGGAGAAATGCATCGCATTCATTGCATTCAGGGGTTCTCCCAGGCAGGCAGGCAGGCAGGCAGGCATGCACACTACCCACACACACCGACACATGCACGCAGACACAGACAGTCAGTGTCACAGTAAGTGTATATACTTGCAGCGTATGTGCATGGGGAACACTGTCAGTCACTGTTCGTGGCGGGCCAACACAGGAGCAGCAGACAGGCAAGGCAAGGCAAGGCAAGAATGGTGGCAAAAATACATGCATTCATCCCCCCAGAGGGCGGCTGGCTGCCAACAGACAGACAGACAGACAGACAGATGGACGGACGGACGATCGATGCACGGCACGGCATGCAGGTCCTTTCAGGGCATTCACATGCACGTGACTCATGCATAAGTAAGGCGTGTAAGCAAGTACGTACCCATGTTGGTTGGTTTATATGCAGCCCAGCAGCCTACCAAAAAGCCCCGAGCGACCGTCTGTGTGTGCACCAGCCAGGTAGTCTGTAGTGGAGAGAGATCATTGATCGACTCGACTCAAAATCGCAGCGGGGGGGCCGCCCCCGCATGTACGCCGACCGCCACGCCACCTGGATGTAGGTACACGCGCACTCACTGCTGTCTGCCTGACTGCCCGTCCTCTCTGTGGCACCGCAAAAATCGCAGCGGAGCGACCAAGGCAGTGGTGAGAAAGAGATGCGTGTCAGTCATGTGTACACTCACTGTGTGTATGGTATGTGTGCAGTCAAGAGATACATGTGACCATCGGTCAGCGAAGAGCAGGGAGGACGGCGGGACAGTGAGTGAGGAAGCGGCATTTCGTCATGTTGCGTCCAGATCCTGCTGGCTGTTGCTCGTGTGTGTGCTCTCCTGGCGTGTTGACGTCTTGTGAGCCTCCCCGCAACGAGATGGCTGTCCACTCAGACTTGGTGGGCAGCCAAGTCATTTCAGGCCGCGCCACGAGACTTCAACACACCCGGAACCACGGGAACAAAACGGAGAGAGATCCTCACTGTCAGGTCACACACGAATGGGTGCACGTGTCTGAGTGTGTCTGTGCGTGTGCGAGTCGTAGCGTACCAGTCAGCCAGTAAGTACTTGCCCCCTGTCTGCCCTGCCCTTTACTAGTACACCCATACACAACCCTCTTCCCCTCTTCCCCTCCCCCACGCTCCTCCCTGTATGGTACTGCAGCCATCCACATATCATATGCCACCTCACCTCAGCTCACCTCACGTGTGTGTGATAGTCAGTCAGTGTATCTTTGTGTGACTGGTCCATCCATCACGTCAACAGCCGACACACCATGCAGTGAGTGCAAGTATCCACGACAACGACGCATAAAATGCCCCCCTCTGTCTGTCCTTCCTCACCAGCCAGCCAGGCATGGGCAGCCCCGCCACGGGCCTTCAGCTGCAGTACTGCACCAGTGAGGAAAAAGTCACGCTACCTCCCAACACCCAACACAACACAACACGACAGCGCCCCCATCCGTCCCTCCGTCCATCCGGGCCTCAAATAACAAGGCCATCCATCCACCCCATCATGTATACCACCAAACCCTCTATGAAAAACACTTTGCGCGTCCCCCTCTCCCCGCTATATGACGACAATACAAGAGAAGGCAAGGCAGGGCAAGGGAGACGACTGAGGCAGGCAGTCTAGTCGTCGATTTCGACCTTCATCCGTATGTTGCCCTCTAATCTGTCGTCGTCGTCATCGTCGTTGTCGTCGTCCATGAACTCGTACTCGCCCTCGGCCAACTCCCCATCACCCTGGAGGCGGTCCTCATCCGCCGCCGCCGGACGGTCACCGCCGGCGCTCGAATCGTCGGACATATCTGAGCATGGCATGGATGGATGGATGGAGGAAAGGCGAGAGGGAGAGAGGGAGAGAGGGTGGATGGGCGGTTTGGTATTGGATGTGTGTGCGTACCAACAGCATCGCTGTTCTCGGATTCGGACCGTTGTAACCGGGACAACTTGCTGAGAGAGAAGGGATGGATGAAAGGATACATACATACATACATAAGAACACACTCTGTCAGTCAGTGTCTTGACCTATCTATCACATCTATCTATCCTATTTTATCACATGTATACACACGCTGACTGACGAACGCCCCTCACCTCTTGGTGGCCCAGGCCAGGACGAGAATGCGTCCCTGTGACTTATCGACAAAGAAGTAGTCGGTGGACCAGAGGAAAGCCGTGCCGAAGTTGAAGTTGACGTCCTCCTCGTCGGGCTGGAACCGATACACCTCCACGCTCGACAAATCCACACAACTCTGATTGATTGATCGACACACCCACAGACAGACAGACAGACAGACAAACAGACAAACAGACAGAGATTGGCCCGATAGATTGAAGCGTCAAGCCAAGGCAAGGCAGCACAGATTCTCACCCGCACGGCTGTCCAGAGTTCTCTCATAAAGTGGGGCCCGAATTGCCGCTCGAGGTGAATGGCGAGGTTGCAGTTGACCGAGTGGACCACCTGGTTCAGATCAGCCTCCAACACAAACTTGTCAGCCGTCAACGTACTGATCACACACACGCACGCACGCACGCACGCACACAGAGAGATGTTCCTCTTGCTGCGTGTGCCTGCTCTCGCTCTGTGACGGACCTGAAGTCATAGTCCGGGAAGGACTGATTGAGAGTGCTGATGAGATTGACCAGCACCTCCTTGACATGCGACGGGTCCGAGTGCACCGTCAGCTTCGGCGACGACGACCCAAACTGACCCACGTCCTTCTCCCTCCCCTTCCGCACCATCAACAACCCACCTTGACCCACACCGCCTCCAACACCACCGACACCACCACTAACACCAGCACTAACCGCACCACCGGCAGAGGCAGAGGCAGAAGCAGAAGCACTCCCACTGGCAGCAGTTGGGCTGGCATCACTCCGCCCGCTGATGCTCATGCCGCTGCCCCGCCGGAGCATACTGGTGGGTGAGGACGATGATGCGTCCGAGGATGAGGACATGCCGCTGCCGACTGTTTCGGACAGCCGCCGCTCCGATGCCGTCTTGGTGCACGAGAAGAGCTCCACCTTGCCGCGGATGACGCGGTCGCCGACGTCCACGTGACGCATTTGGGCTGACAGGTGCGCCAAGGTCGGGTTCTCCAGGAACTTCATCACCGAAGAAGCCTCTCCGAGACCGCTCCCACACGAGGGATCGGTCTGTGGTCGAGGAACTCTGCCTCGACTTCACCAGCAGCACCAGCTGCCTCTCCGCGGCTGACAAGGCTGTCTGGCGGTGTGGTACTTTCGAAAGTGATGAGGGAAGCAGCGGCTGAGGTCCTGGGAAGCTCGATTGATGCTGTACATGACGCTGGGTGATAAGAAGGCGAACAATATACTCTCTTCTCTCTATATAGAGAATTGAGCCACTGGGGAGGCCGCGAGGCAGAGGGGAAAAGCGGAAAGGCTGAGAGGCGCCAAAATCTTTGCAAGCTTGTGGATTTTCTGCGAGCTGAAAACTGCGCGCTTACCGGTGAAGGTGGTGAGGGAAAGAAGCGGTGAAGGTGAATATTCAAAGGAGGGCTTGACCGTCCTCAGCCCAATCATCAGCATGAAGAGAGGCCTCCGACATCTCGGATCTCATGTCGGATCTGCGCTGTGGTCCACGCCACTCCAGGCGAGGACGGCCGCCAGCTCCCTCGTGACCGCCGGCCACCGAAGATGCGTTTCCATGAGTCGAGATGACAGCCGGCAGACCAGGGACTTCAGCAGCAATGCCGCCATGGCCAACCCAGCTGCTGCTGCGACAGATCCGAGCTCAACACCTGACCACCCAGCGATGCCGGCGAGTACCTATGGCTACAGCGCTGAGCAGCCCGACAGCTTCCCCATGGACGCATACGAGCCCGACACCTCACCCCCGTCCCCTCCCCACAACGGGTGGTCGCCTACCTCGCAGAACGGGCTGGCAGAGGATTACCCGTACCAGCAAGATATGAGCCCCCCCGCTGCCACCTCTGCCGACTCCTTCCACGACTCCGACACGGCATTCCCCGAGTCACAGCCCTTCGACCCTTATGAGTACGACAAAACCGGGATGTTCCCGCAGTACCGGCCTGCAGCAGTTGATCCAGAGAAGCTGCGAGCACGGAAAGGCGCGTCAGAGGTCATGAGTCGGCTGGAGGAGGACGCGAGGGCTCTGGGCGATGACGCCGGGCCGGGCAGCGATGCGGCACAGGGGTTCCTGGAGCGGCTGCTGGAGGCGTATGACGGTCACGGTGAGGAGTTCCGTGTGGACGACTATGTGAGGATGCTGCGGCTGATGGTGAGGTTCTCGTATGGTGCTGAGAACAGGGACAGCCGGTTCAACCGGGCCATCGAGGACGCCATGCGGATCAACGACATTGCCACCATGGAAGAGGTGACAAACAACTGAGCTGAGGGGCAGGGCAGGACAGGGCACCACAGGCAGCGCAGCAGAGAAATATAATGTCTATATGTGTCACTCTCCCTGCCCGTGTATGTGTCTGTTTGTTTAGGGTGTTGCATTGATGGAGTCGTATTCGAGCCTCTCCCTCCGCACCCCCCTCCGCGGCACCGCAGGAGTGCTCATGCGGTACACACACACACACACACACACGCAATGCACGTAGCCATGGCCATTTCTTTCTGCGTCTGTCTGGTGTCATGTCAGGCACCTTGAGGGCCAGAGCCCCCCCAGCGAGGAGCAGCTGAGCCTGGCCATGCATGGGCTGCACCAGCTGGGCAAGGGCATGATATTCCACGGGGGCCTGTTCGACCTGGGGGCGCAGTACATTGAGCAGATGAGTGCCGCCAGCGCCAGTCTGTATGCCTATGAGGGCGGCAGGCATGGACTGAGGTGCAAACACCTCATGGGTGAGCGGAGCGACTCAAAGGGTAGATGGGATGGATAGGGTAGACAGAAAGATGGGATGGATGCTGATTGATTCGTGGCTCGCTGGTCTGGCTGGTGAGTTCAGATCATGCGTTGCCATACGTGATAGCCAAGGTGCCGCAGATGACGCTCGACGAGGTCATGCAGGCCGCCCAGGGATTCATCCGCTTCTGCAGAGACTGGATGACCTTCTTCGAAACAGCACTGCCTATCGTCAACGAGCAGGTACGCTGCCCATCTACGTACCCATCCACCACACGACACACCGCCATGAATGCCTTCTTCGGCCTTTCTTCTGGTCTTCTCTCTCTCTCTCTCTCTCTCTCTCTCTCTCTTCCTCAGCTGGGCGAGTTGTCGGTTCCGCAGCTGCAGCTGGTTCTGCGGTTCTGCAAGGAGTTCCGCGGGCACGAGGACTTCACGGCCCTGCAGGAGGCGGCTGCAATGCTGCTGTCCAGCCGCCACCTGGCCGACATGTCGCTGCAGGAGGCCGCCAGGTGCTGCACCTACCTCGAGTGGCACCCCAAGGCTCGCCCGGGGACACGCAAGCTCGTCATCGGCATACACGCCAAACTCATGGACAAAAAGGTCTGTCTGGTCAGGCACGAGGGAAGATGAGATGGACGGCGGCACAGGAAGGGTGTGGGTGTGGGTGTGTGGTGTGTAGGATGACCTGTCGTCGTTGAGTGTGCTGGATGCGGTGGATGTGCTGGATTGTTTCGGAACGTGGCTGCTGCGGTCGGTGCTGCACCAGAAACTGGGGGACATTCTGGTGGAGAGAATCGCCGAGGTCAGTGAGTGGCACCCACACACACATCAACCCAGCACACGATGAGTAGGTATCCTGTGTATATATGGGTGTGGGTGTGAGTGCAGGTGCGCTATTCGCCCAACATCGGCCTGTGGCTGATAGCCCTCGACAACTTCGCCAAGGCCGACTGGTTCCACGGCGGATATGTCACCGAGGCAATCAGCATCGCAAGGGTGAGTCGAGTCATCTCTGCACACCCACATCCACACCCACAGTCCTCCCTCCAACACAACACACGGACCAAAGTGATGTCGTGTGGTGTGGTGTGTCGGTCTCGTCTATCCATCTGTGTGTAGGACGGCTACATGTTGGACCGGCTGTCGTACTTCCAGCAGTGTCGCTTCATCAACTGCCTCGCCAGGCTCAACTACTATGAATACGATGTCTACCAGGTCTGTTGCTGCACACACACATGCCATCCCTCTGTGGCAGGCACCTGCACACCTGGGTATGGTGTTGGTGTGTGCAGAGCATGTCGGAGCGGCTGATAGGCGACCTGCCTCTGCTCAAGACGGTGGGGGAGCTGTCAGCGGTGGTGTGGGCCTTCTCCAAGGCCAACCACGTCCACACGCCCTTCTTCGACGCCGCCTACAGCAACCTCCTCAACATGATGCACCAGCAGTCCATGAGGATGGAAACGTACTGAGCTGACACACACACGCACCCACCCAACACACAGAACGAACACGCTGGCTGGACTTGTTGACTCCTTGTGCGATTCCTTCCCTTCATTCAGCAACAGCACGGCCAACGCCTTGGTGAGCCTGGCGTGGAGCTTCACCGTGGCTGGCTACCACACGACTGAGTACTTCTCGAGCATTCTCGACTACGCCTTCTACAACAAGTGAGGGAGCCCATCTCACCTCAGCTAGCTGACTTGACGGGAAACACTGTCGCCATTGTGGGTGGTGGTGTGTGTTGTGTGGCGTCTGAAGGGATCCCCATGCAAAGATGGGCTTCAAGCGACTGCAGCAAGTCGCCGATGTCTGCCTACTTGAGGTGAGTGGATGGATGGATGTCCGCAGACACAGGCAGGCACACTTGGTGCGCGTGTGTGCACCAAATGCAGATCCCTGACGAGGTTGAGAAGTGTGAGTCCAGGGACATCATCAAAGCCATACACACGTCGCCACTCGTCAGACAACTCAGGTGGGTCGGTCGGTGGCGGTGGGTGGGTGCGATCCATCCACAAATCCATCCATCAAGCCAAGCGACAGCAGCCAGTGTCCATCTCGATGTCTGTACTGCACCGCATTCGTTTCACTGCAGGGACATTCCTCTCAACATGAGGCAGGGCATGTCCGACAAGGCATACAAATACCGCGGCAAAGCCATCGAAGAAATATCAGGTACCCCTCCCCTCCCTCCCCCCACCGCCCCCCATGCATTGGATGCATCACCACATCACCCTCTCCATCCCTCCTTGGCTGCTCTGCTTGTAGCGTGTTTATCTGAGCTGGGCATCGCCCACCAGATCGGCCTGGAGCCCGACCCCTCCTGCCCATACCTCATCGACGTGGCCGTGACGGGCCACACACGGGCGGCGCTGATCGTGGCTGGGCTGGACAGGGCCATGCGCACCGCTGATGTCGGCACAGAGGGACAGCCAGGTGAGAAGGAGTGTGAGGGGAATGACATGAGCCTTTCTGGACGACAGGAATTGCTGTCTTTGTGTGTGTGTGTGTGTGTGTTGACTGTGTCCCTCCTTGTGTCGTGGGCAGGGTTGTTCAACCACACTGACACAGGGCTGATCAACATGATGAGGCGCTCATTCCAGAGACGAGGATGGACGGTCAAACAGACAACCACACACCCAGACAGACAACCACGAGGCCACACGCAGGCACAGCGACGGGTGGCTCTGTCTTGGTGCGTGCCGTGCAGGTTGGCGTGATAACTCAGACGCAGTGGCGCGGCAACAAGGCGGACCGCCGCGAGCAGCTGCTGGACATTCTCACCGACATGGGCGTTGAGGTGCCCTTCCTGCAGTACTGAATCGAGAACTGAGTGGGTGTGAGTGTGTGTGAGGGAGAGGGAGGGAGAGGCGGTAAGGCCTCACCTTGTTTGCTTTTAATATTGCATCGACTGACTGCCTGTGTGTGTGTGCGTGTGGGCGAGGGCATGCAAGCCTGCATCAGCCCCGCCGCCCTGCTTTGTGACGTCGACACTCGGACACGATTGACTGCAGTGAAAGAATCCATGCCTTCATTCATCGTGAATCGGTCAGCACAGCACGTGACGTCCTCGAGAGAAACAGACTACATCTCGCTGAACCAGTCTCTTCCATATAGTTAACTGACGTGCAGTGTGCATTGTCTGCAAAAAAGTCATTCATGCACACCGTCAATGCAGGATAAAAAGTCTGCGACTGACTCACTCGCAGGCCAGCCAGCCATACACACCCGTCTGATGCCGCCTGTCCCCCTCCTCCCCGGCCATTTCTCCGCCTCACTCATTCAATGCCCAGCGGGACGAGCAGCCGTGTCCTGGACAGGCGCCCGAGCTGCTGCCACTCAAACTGGCAGTCGTCGTTACCGAGGTGCTCGTTGAAGCCCTTCTGGACGCCCTCCACGCCGTGATGGGCCGCCTCGTCCATTCGAGCCTTGTGAACCACCTCACGCACACCGAGCTGCCGGGGCCGCACCCCACTGCCACGAATGGCGAAGCACTGCAGCGGCGGCACGGTCACCTTGACGCTTTTGTTGCCCTGCTGCTCATATCTCGTCCCGCCCACCACCTCCCTGTTGCTGCTCGTCTGTGTGGCCGCCGATTTGACAAAGTGGTCGACAGCCGCCTTGACGCGACGTCTCAGCTGGGTGTCGCCGATGAGGTACTCGTCAGTGGCAGCGGGAGCAGCCGATGGCTCGTACAGGAAGGCCCCGATCTTCCATGCGATGCCCTCGGCCTCGTGTGGTCCGAATGCCATGTTGGATGGGGAGGGATGGGGGTGGGCGCCGTCGTGGTGGGGGGCCAGGGGCAGCAGACGGGCGAGGAGCATCGAGTAGTCGCGCTGGGGGGCGAGGGCGGCGTTGATGGCCGACATGGTGGCATTGGGCAGCTCGCTGAGCACCGTGCCGTACTCAGCCAGCACCAGCTGACGCTGACGGCGCTGCCTCTCGTTTGCCGTGGGCAGGCGAGTGATGTCTGCGCCGGTCCGCAGCAGCGTCCGGATGGTGGCCTTGATACTGGGAATGAAGGTTGCTTGATCCCGCTCTCGAGTTTCTCGGTCCAGTTCTTCGTCGTGCAGCCCCTCCACCGTGACGTGCTGCACCAGGCTCCGACTGGCCGTGTCGACCCGATCGGCAGCCATGGCGAGGGGCGTCGCGTCGGGCCAAAGGGCTTGAGGGTGAGCTGGTGTCCGTATGTCGATGTCGCCGGCTGGGAGGCGGCGGCAGAGATAGTCAGCCGAGCAAGGCGACCCCATGAACACTGCGTCGTGCAGTAGCGTCCATTCGATGTTGCGAGTGACCCTGATGCTCGCCCCGTTCTCGACGACAAGGTCTAGGTAAGCGTCGATGAAGCCTTGAGAGAAGCATCCTCGCTCCTCCATGGCCGCCCGCTGCACCAGGTTGCCGCCCAGTGCTTGGTCCTCCTCCGTCGCCAGAGTGCTGTCCTGCTGAATGAGGCGCCGATACATGGCCAGCAGGGAGTGCTCGTAGTCAGAGGGAGCGCTTTTGCCGAACCAGTCTGAGCGAGGCAGCTCCACCACCATCATGTCTTGCAGGTTGGCCTGATGCTGCATCAGCAGGTCAAATGCCGCCTCGTTGCCGGCCAAGATCGCCACACGGATGGGCATCGTCGGCTGGTCGTCATCCGAGTACCCCACGTTGACGTCTGCGCCTCCATCGAGCAGTGCGGTCATGATGTCACGCTCGAGCTGCGGCGACGACCACTGCGGAAGGACAACCGGACGTTCGAGCATAACTCCGTCCTCCTCGTCGAACATCATCCCGCCTTCCTCGTCGTCTTCATCTTCGATGGGTCGCGGTGCCCAGACCGATCCCCAGATGGATGGCATGCAGCTGCCACTCTTGTTGTCGATGACAAGGGAGAGCAGCGGGTAAAAGATGTGCTCCCGGTCCTCCGGGTTAGGGTCCTCCACTGAGCGCCGTAGCCGAAATGAGGACTGGACGCCCGGATCTGCTCCCCGCTGGATGAGCTCCGTCACCTCCTCAGGGCTGTTGAAAGTGCGGCGGATGACGCCTTGGGCCAGCTGTCGGCTGAAATCACCGTATACGAGCTCGTCATCGAACTCGATGTCGACTTCATCCAGCTGCCTCCAGGCCATTCCTGCAGATGGATGTGAGGAACCAAAATCATGACATGCTCATTCTTGACGCGTGCCTTGCTCTCTGCTCATCTCACCTGAGTGATCTCCCTCTCTCTCTCAGGCGCTGTCGGGGTCGAATCGTCTGATGTCGGTCATGATGCCGGCGTCGTACTGGCAGTCGAGGTACTTGACGTTGTAGAAGGTGGCCGAGAGGACCGCCAGCCGGTCCTTCTCGCGGATCTCCTTGATGGCCGCCTGCAGGAACCGGAGCCGCTTCTGCCACTGCTTGGTGCTCTCCCACTCGCTACGCTGACCCAACGTCGAAAACACCTCCGCCTCAAAACTTGTCGATGTCATTTCCTTCGCTTGTTGCCTTCATGTTGGACTCATTCTGATCTCCCCTTTTCCTCTCTCTCCTTTCCTTCGACTGCGAGCTTTTGAACTTGGAGGTCTGCAAGCTTAGCCTCGCAAGAAGGAGGACGCCCGACAGGCTCTCGCTCTCGCCGCTATGACCTGCAGGAGGCGACTCTCACCGCATCACTTGCGAAAACGGCAGTGATGCATGTGCCCGGCACACTTTACTTCTTGCTCCCATCCCCTGCCAGCCTCGTCGTCCTCCCTGCCATCCGCCGCTCTCTCGAGGCACTCGTGATGCGAATCATGCAGTCCTTCACGGACAGCCAAGTGCGGGACGAGCACTACGACAAGATAGGTGATGCTGATGCCGCTGATGCTGATGGCGTGTCGTTGCCGTGCTCCCATCCTCTGCTAGGCAGCGAGTGTCACGTGGTGCTCAGCTTCCTGCCGACCGTTGAGGTCCTCCGCATGGCGCCGACCTGCAGGGATCTCTACTCCAAGTGCAGAGGGAGCGAAGCGGCGCCCTCGCATACACACCTCACCATGACGGTACGTGCACACGGGGGAGGCGTGGGCCACCTGGTGGTGTCTGATTGCCTCTCTCTGCATGCAGGAGCCGTGCTGGCGCAAGGCGGATCTGTCGAGCCAGCTGCCGCTGATCCGGTGTCTGCGGCACCTGCGAAGCGCCCGGCTGTCCACCACTGCAGTGCCGTGCCCTGATGACCTGCGGCGTGTCACTGAGGCCATCACACCCTCCCCAGCCGCCGCCGTTTCCCTCGAGCTCATATGCGACAAACGATTCGCCTTCCGGTTCGTCACCGAGCCCGTCAGCCTGTCACCGTCAGTGCGGCGATTGCGTCTGGTGCTGTACGGCTGCACTCATACGCCTGGGAGGTTTTTGCCGGCGTTGCTGGAGAGCACCTACCCCTCTCTGGCTGAGATTGACATCCAGACGGATAGCCTTTGCCTCACTGACAGCCTTGTGGATGGACATGTGGCGAGTGAAGAGCCCCTGTCGCCGTGTCGAAGGGACCAGTGGTTCGATGTCCGATGAGCCACTCGATCATACGGCTGAACTCGTGAGAGGCAGACAGAGAGGAGGGGTTCACTGACCATTCATCAGTGAGTTTGTTGCTGCTTTTGTGCCCGTGCCCCTGTGTGGTTTTTGAGAGAGAAGGGGAGAGGGGGGGTGAACGCATCAATCAATGCCCTTTCTAATTTATGAGTAGGTTTGTTAGTGTTCGTGCCCACATGGCCCGGCCCTTTATGCAGGCAGTCATCCGTTCGTGTGTGCGTGGCGACTTGGGTGTGATGCTGCAGAGAGGTGTGTGTGTGTGTGTGTTGAGAACCAAATAGATGAGAGTGTTGCACTGTTCAACGAGAGGTCTCCCCTCCCTGCGTTCCTCCGTCACGTAATGAACATACACACAATAATACTTGCGAATGAGTCAGATTGTCGATAAAGCCTACTCACACACACACATCCACGCGCAGGCACACAGACAAGCTCACGCACAGTCGCCTGCCGCCATCCATTCGCACACAGCGTGACAATGCACGCGAACAGGCTCAGCCAATGCAACGCAGCCGAACACAACACTAGCACACGCGCGACAGATGCATCCGGCTGAGTGGACTGGATGGCTGGATGGCTATACAAGTATATATCGCCACGCTACGTAGACTAGCTCAGCTGAGGAGACGCCCGCAATCCAACCGCAGGCCGACACGACACACCACCAGCCTCTGAGCAAACCACATCATGAGTGAGCATTCCCATCGCACCACGCGAGCCCGTCGTCACCCCGTGTGAGCTGCTTACACGGGATGACGATGGGCGCATTGGCAGCTGGACCAGCTGCTGCAGGTCCAGGTCCGCCGTCAGCCGCCGCCGCTGCAGGTGCCGCCCGGTCCCTCTCGCCCTCCTCCATCTCGACCCCCCACACCTCCACTAATTTGGGCGACAGTAGGGGGTTGCCGCCACGCTCCGTCTGGCGCTGCACGTTGAAGCCCATCAGGTACTGACGACACACACAACACACGCAGCGGTTCGTGAGAGAGTGAGGGAGGTCTGTGTGTGTGTGTGTGTGAATGTGGGATGCACCTCTCCCGCCGCTGCCTCGGAAGGCGCCGCCTGGTTGGCCGTGGGCTTGACGGCCCGGTCGCCGGCCTCATAGAGGTCCAGGGAGCGGACGTCGGGGGGCGTCCCACGAGGCTGGCCTTGACGCCACCCCTGACACACACACACTCTTCTCTCCCCTTTCTGAGTGTGTGTGTGTGTGTGTGTGGTTGCATTGCACTCCTGACGTGGCAGCTGAACTTGAGCCTTGGGATGTTGAACCCCTTGGTCTTGTGGATCGTGATGTTGACTGTCTCCTCGTGGGTCCGCATCAGGACCCACTGGTCGACGCCCATCCCCAGGCTGTCGGCTGTGAAGTGGAACCCCGCATTCGGGCCGCCGACGTTGACGCCACCCTGCCGCGTGAAGTGCTCCCGCAAGCCAAACTCACGGCGGATCAGGACGCCCTGGAGCGATGGGGAGTCGCTGGGCCGCCAGAGGAGCAGCCGGGCAGAGTGGGGGGCGGGGAGGGGGGGGCTGACTGTGATGGCTGGGGCGTTGGGGTCGACGGTGGTCTGGCCTGCATACGGATGGATGGATGGATGTGTGTGTGTGTGTGTGTCTGTCGCGTGTGTGTTGGGGAGGGGGCGTCTTACTGGCAGAGGTGGCTTTGGAGGCTTTGTCTCCGTCTCTGATCCTGCGGTAGGACGCACCACCACGGAAGGCGCTCAGCAGGTTGCCGACGCTCTCACGGTGCCACGCGCGCCTGAGCCCACCACACCAACACGGCAATGTGGCTACCTGTTGGTGTGTGGCGTGTGAAGGGTTTTCTCACTTACTTGTAGAGGCATCTCATTTCCCGAATAGTGCACTTGGTCGAGTCCTCGATGGTCGTGACCTGCAGACAGACAGACAGTCCACAACACATACATACCAACAAATGCCGATTTCCTCCCTCTGTGTGGTGTGGTGTGGTGTGGTGTGGTGTCCTCCTCCTCTCTGTGTTTCTTACCACTTGCGTGAAGAGGTCTCGTTTGCCCAGCATGCCGTGGTGCTCGCCTCTGGTCATGTGGAAGGGCGCCACCTTCTGAACCCGCGACGTTATGCTGTACATGTCCAGACACATCTGCACCTGCACACATACATTCCGACACGCAGATAGACAGGCATCTCACAGGCAGGTGTAGGGGTGTGTGTGTGTGTGTGTGCTAAGTGGATCCTCACCTCTCGCTTGACGGCTTCGGCAGATGATGGCAGAAAGAGCGTGGCAGTGGGGTCGTATCTATTGCGGCGGCAGAAGTCCAGCACGTACGAGAACACGTGCGGCGCCACGTTGTCGATGTACCTCAACGCATACCTAACACACACACCACCACACCACCACGACGCTCAAAGCATCGCTTCCGCCTCCCCGTCTCCCCATGGCAAGTATGCTCACTTGTCGAACCGATTGTAGATTGCCGACTCCTCCCCACAGGCGATCAGGGTGGAGAGGCACGTGGCGAAGGGCCGGCCCACGACCACCAGCTTCAGCACCTCGTCCTCCCTCTCGCCCTCGCGCAAAGCCACCTTCTGCTGGAAGTACGGCTCCATCGCCTTCAGGGCGGCCTTCCACCGCTTCTTGAGCTCCGTCGCCTCCGCGATGGCCACGTCCAGCTGCGTCAGGCGGCTCTCTACAGTGCTCCTGATCTCCTGCACGCACCCACCACACACAAGCAAGGAAAGAGAGAGGTGTGAAGTGGTGTTTCGTGTGGTGTGGTTTAGGCGGCCACCTGTAGCTGTGCGAAGGCGTTGCTGATGGCGTCATTGAGGTTGGTGGGGTGCGGCTGGTTGGCTGGCTGCTGCAGGTCGCTGGTCTGCACGGCCTTGCTCTCCTTACGAACAAAGGTATCCAACGAAACTGACTCAGGGACAGACACAAAGACAAAGCCACTGACCTGTGTGTTTTCTCTCCCTCCCTCCCTCCCTGCACCCCTGCCTCCCTCTGTCTGTCCGGATGTCTGCCTCTGACTGTGTACCAGAGCGCTGAAACATTTCGTAGTAGAAGCGATGTCGCGCATCGGACGGCTCCACGGTGGTGGCGTTGCACCCCAGAATCATGAGGTCATTGAGGAAGCTGCCGAACGCCTCAGGGTCGACATCCAGGAAGATGCGGCCCTCAGAATCGCGCTGACAGAAGATACGTAGCGACACAACAAGACACAACGGACACGAGAGAGAGAGAGAGAGAGAGAGAATGGGGCAATGATGCAAACGTCCATTTGTGTGATTGGTGTGTATGTGCAGACCTTCAGTCTGTGCTCCCAGTGACCAGCTGAAGGCGCACACACGACGGACGGGCAGACACACACATGAGGCCTCCTGTCTGTCCTTTGCGCCTGCCTGCTTGTGCCCGTTAGCTTACAGAAGAGCTCGGCAAAGAGGGTGCCCTTCTGCTTGGTCAAGATGGCCCTCGTAATCCCCTCCTCCATCAGCAGCCCGCCCACGTTGAGCAGCACCCTCTCACTCACGATAGTGGGCTCGCGATAGTCGTTCTCAGTCTTGATGCGATGCAGCTCCTCAGTCAGCTTCTTCAGCCCCGCTTCTTTCTCGTTGACGGCCTCGGCCGCCCCGTTGATGCTTTCGTTGAGAGTGGTACGCAGCGCGTCGACCTCGGGCATGACTGACGGCGTCCGACCGGCTGCTGCTTCCGCTGCTGCGCCTTGAGGCTCGTCTTCGATGCGGCGCTTCTTGCTCGTGTCTGCGGATGCTGCCGAGTAGTCAGGCGCCGAGCGCTTGGCCCTCACTGCGTCCTCCTCGTCCATTCCCTCTTCTCCCCCCTTCGTGCGAGCCGAGGAAGCGATCGGGATCAGGAAAGAGGGAGAGGAGAAATCATTGCAAAGGGCAGTTAGAGTGAGAGGAGCACCCCCTCGTGTATGACCTGAACTCACGTGCCGGCGAGAATTCGCGATGGCGAGGAGAATTCGCGATGGTGAGACAATTCAACGACTCGGAAGAAACATTTGAGAGCGTCATTCGTTCACTTAACCGCTATCCCCCGCTCCCTCACCTGCCCGCGTCTTTGTTTGTGTCAGCACCACCTCTCATGAAAGCCTATTCCGCCCACCCGAGCAGATGTCGGGTGTGGATGACGCTGAGTGAGGATGCAGACGTCTATACGCAGACCATCCGCGCCCCACGACTCCATCCGCACCGATGTGGCCCCTCTAACTGTAAGTAAAAGACACGTCGATGCGTTCTGTCTCTACTGCATCGATCAATGTAGGAGACGCTACGTCGCTTAATTGACGAATCGTCGCGAGAAGAGGCCGCCTTCAACCTCTACAAGACAGACCCATGGAGCCGCACCGACGAAAAATTGAATTACTGGGAGGTGAGATGCATGTATTATCACTCTTCACGGATTCATCTATATTTGTCTCTCTTCTATCAGGGAAATGCCAACACACTGGAGCACCACCTGGGGGAAGTAGTGTCTGCAGTTCGACTTATGCTGGCCGTCTGATCTGCACTGGCTGCTGATCTGCCAGGTCCGTACCTGTCCACGCACCTGTCCTCGCTGCCATCAGTGTTCTGTCTGGTATATGTGCTGTTTGCTGCAGGGCTGAATGTTCCACTCACTGGGGGGATGGGGGGTGGAGGCTACGGCGTGCGTGTTTCGTTCTCTGTATTTTTTCTGCCCAACGTGTGTTGGTGGGCACGTGAGGGGCAGCCAGGAAGCGGTCGGTCGAGTGGCCGTGCGGCGTGTTTTGACGTCAGCCTGAGGGGGGCAGTGAGTTCGGTGTCTGTCTGTCTGCCTGTCTGTCTGTCTGTCTGTCTGCCCGGCTGCAACGCAGTGTCGGTGTAGGTGAGGGTGAGGGCATAGCAGTGGGATAGGGTGCTCTTTGTACACACACACACACACACACACGTGTCCAGTTTTGTCCACCATTACTTTCCTCAGCTGGGGAAAGTGTCAGCTGAGGAAAGTAATGGTGGACGATCCATGTATTTTCTAAATTGATCATTGTCTATCAATGTAGTAAAAAGACACGTCCATGCATTCGTTTGTGTGATATGTGCTTGCCGGATGGATGTCTCTGTCTCTATTGCATCGATCAATGCAGGAGACGCTGCGTCGACTGATAGACGAGTCGGCGCCTGAGGAGATCGACAGCAAGGCGAGAGTCGCGGCGTTCCACCTTTACCAAGCAGACCACAGCCGCACCCAGGAAAAACTTAACTACTGGGAGGTGAGATGCATTCATTATCGATCTTCATGGATTCATCTGCGTGTATTTGTGCCTCTTGTATCAGAGTAAAGCCAACAGCCTTGAGCACCACCTGGGGGAAGTAATCTCGGAAGTTCGACATATTTTGGCGTGCTGATTCGCGTTCTTGCCTGTCTGCCATCGTTGTTCATTGCCTACATCGTTGTCCTTTGTTGCCATCGACTACATGTAGGGAGTCCCTTACTCGGCGACGACATAGTAAGAGGTCGACGCGAGAGCGAGACTGGCGGCTTTTCACATCTACAAGGCGTACCACAGGCGTACCGACGAGAGACCAAATTTTCGGGAGGTGAGATGCATCTATTAATCTTCAAGCCGAACTCAAGGCATTGCGCCTCAGGGGTACACAGGATGATATGTCGCCGGCCATCAAGGGCAGTCGCAGCGCAATAGCCATCGAGGATGAGATCGAGATCCTGCGTGAAACTTGCAAGGTGCGTGAAGGAGGGGGGCAGCCTTGACGGTTACGTGTTTATGCCTCAGGAGCTGGAGCGGAGGAAGGAGGAACTAGAACGGGACAATGAAGAGCTACAAGCTGAGGTTGATGATTTGCTGGATGAAATTGAGGACCTTCGTGCCGCGCCCCCTCTCCCCGCCCCCTCAGGGGTCAATGTCGACAGCGACACCCCTCACTCGCAGGAAGAGGGTCAGTCACACTTGCCTTTATTGTACCTGAATGAATCTGAATATATATGTGTGTCTCCTGTATGAATGGTCAGAGGGCGTCAGCCAGCCACCCCGTCCTCTGGTCCCGCAGCTCAAGCTCGGCGGCGCCCAGGATTCATGGATTCACGTATGCGTGTATTTGTGTGTCTTGTGACAGGGCAAAACCAACACCGTCGAGCCCCACCTGGGGGAAGTAATTTTGGCAGTTCAACAGATACTCGATGCCTCTCCCCACGAGAAAACAACTTCAGCCTCAACCAATGTCCGCACGGCCCCTTGTGCCCTTCCTCAAGCTGAAGCTTCAGGAGGGAGATTCGACCGCCTCCCTGAACGCCTCACGCACTAGCAACACCCCCGCCGATGACACGACTAGGAACGAGCGACGCGAACGAGTCGAGGTGGGGGACCTGAGAGGGGTACAGACAGGCCCCACGCACGACACATCATCGCCTGTTGCCTGTTGTCGCGCAGAAAAAATCTGCGCCCCCCTCCCCCCTCTCCCCACGAGAAAACAACTTCAGCCTCAACCAATGTCCGCATTGCCCCTTGTGCCGGTGCTCAAGCTAAGGGAAGGAGAGTCGGCCCTCTTCCTCAACGCCTCCCGCGGGAGCAGCCACAGCCCCGATGCCACGCGCAACGAACGACGAGAACGAGTCGAGGTGGGGGACCTGAGAGGGATACAGACAGGCCCCACGGCACATCCCAGGTCATCCATCGCTGCGTACATTTTATATTATGATGAGGCATGGGACTTTCCAAGCACGGATGACACGACCAAGCTGGCTGGGTTGTATGCATGAAGTGAAGTGGATTAAGAGTGATGGAAAGAGAGGGATGCATCAGATATAGATGGCGAGTGTGTGCATTGCAGGATTGGTGGACACTTGATGCCATGCCGTGGCTGTCATGACTGTGCGCTTTCATTCATCAATGGACCACCGAATGTCTGTGTGTGTCTTTGTGGCCAACAGAAGACCATGTGCAAACAAAACAATCCATCCATCCATCAAACAAAGCTGTGTCAGCCCACCGCCCCGCCCCTCCCACTCAGTGTTGTTGATCTCTCCATGTCACCCACCCACCCACTGCTGACACATGTGTGTGTGTATGTGTGTGTGTGTGAAAAGGACCCCCCGCCCACTGCTATGCCCTCACCTCGGCCTACACCGACACTTCGTTGCAGCCGGGCAGACAGACAGACAGACAGACAGAGAGACAAAAAGACAGGCAAGACAGACAGGCAGACAGGCACCGAACTCACTCCGTCGGTCAGTCGACACGCAATCCATGCGCCCGTGACCCTTGAAACACTCTCCCATTCGCCCACCCCCCCGTCCCTCTCTGGCTGTGTGGCTCTCTCACAGGCAATCCATTCATGAAGGCATCGGCTAGCGACGCGCACACACACACACATGGAGTCATCCCGCCCACCTGACTGCCCGAGAAACAAAGTCTCACGACCCACACACACACACACACAAACACTCACCCAGGCACCCACCCACCCACGTGGCCCAGCCAACACGCACACGACCGACAGACTGCGAAAGAGAGAAAGGGATCACTACAAAAAGAGAGTGCGGGTCCGTCGGCTCTCGTCAGCCTCTTGGCCGCACAGGAGATCTCCTCCCCCAGTCAGCCAGTCAGTCAGTCAGTCGGACAGCCAGCAGCCAGCCATGCACACCAATCAACCAAGTATCCATCCATCCATCCATTCATCCATCCACAAGGCACATGATTCACACATGCATCAGCTGCCCTGCCTGCCCACAGCTACTAGAAATGAGACAAAAAGACTCCCCACTCAGTGTTGTTGATCTCTCCATGTCACCCACCCACTGCTGACGTGTGTGTGGGTGTGGGTGTGCAAAGAGATTCCCAGCCCACTGCTATGCCCTCACCCTCACCTACACTGACACTGCGTTGCAGCCGGAGAGACAGACAGACAAACAGACAAACAGACAGAGACAGACAGACAGACAGACAGCCGGCCAGCCAGACAGACACCGAACTCACTGCCCCCCTCAGACTGACGTCAAAAGACAGCCGCACGACCACTCGACCGACCACTTCCTGGCTGCCCCTCACGTGCCACGGTGCCCACCAACAGAGAACGAAACACGCACGCCGTAGCCTCCACCCCCAACCCCCCCAGCCATCCCAAGTGAGTGGAATGGCAATAAAGTCGTGTGTGGTATCATTCAGCCCTGCAGCAAACAGCACATACACCAGACAGAACACTGATGGCAGCGAGAATGTGTGAGCCGTTGCTGGTGTTGCTGGTGCGTGGACAGGTGCGGACCTGGCAATTTTCAGAAGTGCCTGGTCTTCCTCTGAATCCAGACCGGCCCTACCTGGACACACACGTAGAACTCCAGGCACCCATACGTGTGGAAGGGCCCGCTCGTGCCCGTCCCGTTGGCCCAGAACCACCCGACGGCACGGATGGTGCCGTAGTGAGCGCCCTCGACCTCGATTGTGGCGTTGTGGTGCGGCGCCGTCGCCGCCTCCATCTCCTCATGAGTGGCTGGGCGAATCATCATGCTCCCCTCCATGGGCCCGGCCGCCTCGGTGAGGTTGCCCTGCTCATGCTGGTGACGCAGGACGATGCCGTAGTCCTCGGTCATGTTTCTGTCGTCCATTGCCTTGTGCAGCGACGCGAGGAAGGGCTTGTCGGCCAGCAGCGCCTTGTAGCTGGTGCGGAAGGCGTCGAGGTGCTCCGGGCAGGGCATCATGTACTCGAGTGGCACCACATCACCTCCCTCGCCCAGCTTCATCTTGTAGGGAAAGGCCTTCGACAGGTCCAGAGAGGCAAAGCTTGCTGGCAGCAGGATGGGCCGGGAATACTCGGCGCCATAGCAGTCGGTCCGCAGCAGGACCTCTCCCTCCTGAAGCTTCTCATGGTGGTGTGGGAGGTGGATGCCCAGCACCTTGCCGTGGCGAGATGGGCCGACGATGGTCGTCAAGACGTCCCTGACGGCCTCCTCGCCTCCTGCCGTTGCTCCTTTGTCGCTCAGCGAGGCGAACGCAGGCAGATCGTTGAACACGGACGTGTTCCAGGTGTTCGAGGTGGGCACGACGGCCGAGTTGGGCTTCCAGCCCGGGCCATGGTGAAGTAGCACCACACTCACGAGGACCGCGCCGACAGCCGCCGCACTCGCGCCGATGGTCAGGTGCTTCATGTCTGGAAGGGAAGGGACGAGAGGATGAATCAACACGACGGACAAACGAGGCAGCTGGAACCCGCTGAGGGCCCTTCATGGTGCTCTAAAGCGGGTCCACTCACAAGTGTTTCTCGGGATCCACGATTTCCGAGAAAAGCTCGCAGATGAGACTAGGGTACTTCACGAAACCGCTGCCAGAGTGAACAAGCTCGCGCGAAAATGAGCCATCCCCGGGCAATGAGCCATTCATCATCGGTAAGAATGAGTTGCCTTGGCCGCTGGCGTCGTTTTCTGTGCGCTCCGAAGGTGGATTGTCATCCATCGCCCTGAGATCTCTTGTGCGCTGAGGAGGCCGGTCGGCAGATCTGCACCGACCAGAGACCGTGCACGGCCCGCTCACGTAAGCCAGCAGAAAAGACAACACAAATCACAAACAGCACTAAATGGCTTCGTCATGTCTGTCCTCGCCGCAGTGCGATGGCCACCTCACACACCTCCTCGCGGCAATCGCAGCCTGACCATCCTCAGGCAAGTCAGAAGGAGAGGTCTGTCACGTCTGTGTGCCTTTAGGTGGTTTGTGTGTGGTTTTAGGAGTCGGGTGCGATGGCTCATTCAGAATCGGCTGGACCTCAACCACACACACACACACAGGTACCCAACCGCCCCACACACAGAAACACCACACACGATGTGAGCATCTGTCTGCGTGTCCCCGTGCTGCAGGCCCGAAGGCGGTGGAAGAAACGAAGGGACAGAAGAAGAGCACTGTGGCGCATCCCAGGCAGCAGAGAGAGCCGCAGTGAGAAGCACACATGCGGCCATCGGGGTGGGGGGAGTGGATGGTGGGGTCATTTTTCATCAGGTGTACACGCCATTCGCAGCGGTTCTTTTGTTCTTGTGCGTTCAGTCATACACCGATGTGTGCACGTGTGCATACGCTGTCACTTCCGTCGTCTGAAGTGTGTTGTGCTATCGCTGAGCTGACTCTTATGCGGGTGCGTGGTTTTGGTGGGGGAGGTGTACATGCACAGGCAGACAGGGAACAGACGACCAGAAGCAGGAGAGGTGCTGGTGTGTCGCACGTGAATGCGCGCTCATGCGAGGAATCAATGAAGACGAATGCAATTAGGTAGGGAATGATACCCTCCATGAACGTCAGTCACGTCAGATATCACAGTCACAGTCGCACTTCATAGCCTTGTGCCTCGCGTGTGTGTGATGTGTGATGGCCTCCAGCACGAATCTATCAATTGGCACAAGCCGACACAGCCGGGCAAAACGGCGTCACGCGAAAGCCGATCGAACTAGCCAACATGCAGACTTGCAAAGCGGCTTCAACCTGCAATCTGCGGTGCCAGTGGGTCGAGTACCTGCCAAACAACAATAACTCATCCATCAGGCGTCAGAGCAGGATCGCCATCTGATGTACCCAATCTGAGAGTCGCGATAGCGGTACGTAGTCCTGGATTCGGAAAACCTCAACCTCTCGAGCGCGAAATACATCTTGCCCTTCAAAAAGGGCGTACCCCGCCACCCTTGCTCCCCGATAACCTTTCGGGAGAGCGCTGAGGAGGATGTTGTGATAGCAGCTCCTCAGTTTCCCATCGCCGTAACCCAGTTTTTGAGAAATCAAGCCCCCTGGGCCGTCGGAGCTACCAAAGATCAAGCTCCCGCGGTCAGACACTTGCATGCTCTGGCCGGACAAGGCAATTTGCGTCGCTTTGTCGAAGTGGTGGTGGGATAGAGAGAAAAGCCGTAGACCGCAGGCGAAATTCGAGGCTTCGTACGCACCGAAAGGGCCGACGTCCGGAGCCTCAGGATAGATAAGAAACACCAGGTTGCTCCGCATTTGCAAATGGGGCAAGAAGGCGCTAAGCTGCTCTCCATCAGACGCCCTGACGTAAGAGCGCGAAAGCACACAAAGTGCACGCAGCGTCTTCTGCTGTGAGCACACGCACATACCTGTGCAGCAGCGTGAAGGTGCACTCGCGGTCCGACGGCACAATCAGCGATTTGAGTGCAGCAAAGTGCAATGCACTCATCCTGCTGCCAGCAGGCACCTGTAGACAGCACGAGACAGACAGACGGACATCAGGGATCGTCACGTGCTGTGGGAGTCTCACGTACATCGTGAGTGGGCTCGGGCACCACATCAACGGCCACGCTGTGACTCGCTACACTGTCATCGTCACTCTGACGACAGTGCAGAACGAAAGGAATGAAAGAGACGTGTAGGGTCTGATGCTCTGGTGGTTACTGACCCCTTCGGATTGGTGGTCTGAATCGGTCGCCAGGTCCTCCGTGAGAGTGAGTTCAGCCATGGATCGACCGAGGTCCTCAATCTGAGAGAAACCATTGAACAAATGGTTGGACAATTACTTGCATCTGTCTCCCTTACCATCCAGGGGACGCTTGCTTTCTGGTTTTCCTCCAGAACCACTTCTTCCGGCTCCTGCTGCGTCCTTCGTCGCATGTTGGTCAATCTGTCCACTTGAGAAGAATGTTGCTGAAACGAGGCAAGAAGCGCACGAGAACCTTCCACAGTGACATAGCCTGTCGGCCGCTTACATCCACGCTGCTGTTTGGCCGTTTGCTCGGCTGTGTCGTCGGGGAAGGCGGTCGGAGGGAGAACCCGGAGTTCCGTCCAGGACCCAGATAGACACAGGGAGACCAGAGGAAGTCGGAAGAACCACCGACTTTGAAGGAGTCACACGACTGTGAAGCACCCTGCAGAAATCCAAAAAGAGTGACACGCAATTATCTCGTCCCATCAGCATCGGCGTGTAAAACGCACCTGGAGATGCTGCTCAGCAGAGCCTTCCGCCGCCTCTGGCGCTCCAACAGCAACCTCTTCTCGGGTCTGAAACAAGCATCGATGCAAAACGCTTTGCGTGTCTAATTTGTCTCTCACCTTTGTGTCATCCGATTTCTCAGATTCGGGTATAATATCGAGCTACTCCTGGAGAAGCGGGTCGCTCAACTGCACGCAAAAGCATACGATGCTCATGGGACTTGGTGATCCGATGTACATCGACTCTTCTCTTCGCTTACCGTCACGTCAGTGCCTGCAGCTGCTGCTGCTGCCGGAGCGGGAGCAATAGCAAGTGGCTTAGAAGCAGGCACAGTATTGATCTCTTCCTGGGCGGGCGGCTGGCCCATCAACTGCACCAAACAGCATACCAAGCTCACGCTCATGTCACTCGGTGAGCGTCCGATGCACAGGCACTTTCCCTTCCCTACCGCCATTCCAGTGGAGTCGCCAGTGGCTGCTGCGGGAGCAGCAACACGTGGCTCAGAACCCGGGAGACGACTCTGATAAGCACGCACGAATCGATGAATAGCCAGTGCCTCACCGATTCAAAGCGACTGTGTTCTCTCGATTCACCGTTTGGTTGTCTGACGTGGCATCGCCGACTGCTGAAGATGCGCACCCTTGCTCTAATGCAGCATATGGCACGCGCCCCGATCGGCCAGCAGACATCCGTGGCGATTGGCCTACACACCAGGCAGCAGCAGAAACACAGACACACGTGCTTGCGCACATCATTTTGGTACCCGAGCGGACTGGTTGAGTGGCTGCGGGTCGACCTGCGCATTACACAGCAGCAGAGAGAGAAATGCGGGAAAATCGCCCGCCATTCACCCAGCCCATGGTGTACCAAGGGCATGTGAAGGCGATCCACGAGGAAAAAAGGGAGGGCGGTGTGCGGGCGGGAAGGAGGGAGGCAAGCTGAGGGCCGCCGCACCGCCACCGCTGCGCAGCAATGGACTCAGTGAATGCGATGGACCTGCACACAGCACACGACAACAGAAAAACCTGCATGCACATGCACACGTGCAACAGACGTGTACCTGTGGCGGGGAAATGCGGTCCATGGCGACGTGCCGCACCACCGCCTGTGACTGCAGCTGCAGGAAGGGCCTGACGAGCGAGATAACATGAATCGATCATATACACAGTCTCTGTGTGCCTGCTGCTGACTCTCCCACCTGCTCGTCGACGCCGCCAGGGGTCCCTTGACCCAAACCTTGACCCACCACCCTGGCGGCAAAGATGACACAGCCCTGATGGTTGCAGTGTATCTATTGGCATATATGCCTACCCTTCCGGCGGCAAAGATGGCGTGGACAAGGGCATCTGCAGTGGTCGACCTGCACATTACACACAGCAGAGAGACGAATGCGGAAACCCACCCGCCATTCACCCAGCCCATGGTGTACCAGGGGCATGTGAAGGCGGTCCGGGAGGGAAGAAGGAAGGGCGTTTTGCTGCAGGTGGGTATCCGGGTGGCCAAGACGAAGAAACGGGGGGTGGCGCAAAGGGATTTGTGGGGCTGCATGGGCCTGCGGCCGCCGCACCGCCACTGCTGCTGTGTGGACCGGGCAGCCTCTGCAGCAATGGATCCGCTGCATGCGATGGACCTGCACACAACACACGACAACAGACAAACATGGATGCACGTGCAGCGGACATGTACCTGTGGCGCTGATCCCACAAAGGAGCCGGCCAATGATGCCAGATGCAAGACAACGCACCTGCGAGAGGCAGACAGAGATACACATCAAGCACACGTCTGACACACTTACGGCATTGCTCTGTGACGCATCGGCGCACAGGGCATCCAGCCAGTATTTCAGCCGCACAGCCTCCTGATTGCCACACACCACACACACTCGCCCCCTGCCTCTGTGTGCGTGTGGCTGTGTCACCTGTTGGGTAAGAAGGGCTGCACTAAGCGCCTGCAGGTACTCAAGCGTCTCAAGCGTCTGCAGGATGGACACACCTAAGCTATAAAAGCAGGAGAGGTGTTGGCAAATCATAATACGTGTGGTGGATGCACCGTTGCCAACATAGCGGCTCCAGGCACAGTGTTGATCTCTTCCTGGGCGGGCGGCTGGCCCATCAACTGCACCAAACAGCATACCAAGCCCACGCTCATGTCACTCGGTGAGCGTCCGATGCACAGGCACTTTCCCTTCCCTACCGCCATTCCAGTGGAGTCGCCAGTGGCTGCTGCGGGAGCAGCAACACGTGACTCAGAAGCCGGGAGACGACTCTGATAGGCACGCACGAATCGATGAATAGCGAGTGCCTCACCGACTCAAACCGACTGTGTTCTCTCGATTCACCGTGTGGTTGTCTGAGGAGAGCTCTGCAGCGGCACCGCCGACTGCTGAAGATGCGCACCCTTGCTCTAATGCAGCATATGGCACGCGACCCGGTCCGACAGCAGACATCTGTGGCGGTTGGCCTACACACCAGGCAGCAGCAGAAACACAGACACACGTGCTTGCGCACATCATGTTGGTACCCAAGCGGACTGGTTGAGTGGCTGCGGGTCGCCGTGCACAGTACACAGCAGCAGAGAGATGAATGCATGAAACCCGCCCAGCCACCCACCTACCCCATGGTGTACCAGGGGCATTTGGAGGCCTTCCAGGAGGAAAAAAGGGAGGGGGGTGTGCGGGCGGGAACAAGGGAGGGAAGCTGAGGGCCGCCGCACCGCCACTGCCCATCCGACGGGAACCCTGACTTGTCGGTTGGCTGGCCTGTCGCTTCGCTTTGCATTTCGTATTGTGCTTCTGATTGTATGCGACCCACTCGCCGCAATCGTCACAGCGATAGACCTTCCTCAGATGATCGTCGAACTGGGAATCGGCCAAGTGCTCCTTGTTGAAGGCGTACAGGAATTTGAACTCTTCCTCCTTGTCCTCCTTCCCGTCCTCCTTCACTGTGACGATCAGGGTCACTCCTGGCTCTACACCGAGGTCTGCTACTTGCTGAAGCTGCAAGCTGGCGTTGGCGTTGGGCCGAACAGTGGCAAATGTAGTGGCTGAAGCGGAGAAAAGACACATAATCAAGGGATGACTCTTCGGCCTTCATTCGCTGCGATTCTCACTCGATGCCTTTTTCCCCTCGCGCCTAGTCGGAACGTATCGGAGCCACGCCTCCTCGACCTTGACGGTGCGCCCGTCACTGGTCCGCTCATCCGGCAGCTGCCATAACACTGCTCCAGGAGCTGATGAAAGAGGGACGTCGATGGCCTTCGTGATGCCATTGTCCATCACTTCCTTGATGCCTGCCGGGGCATAGGTTTCCGTGAACTTCACGATCGCCATCTTCTTCTTCTTCTCCTCCTCCTTCTCCTTCTCCTTCTCCTCCTCCTCCATCCTGGGCCAATGTCTGTGCAGACGCTCCACCAGGAGCTGTGCTGCAGCAGCGGCGGCCTGCAGCACGGGGACACGCAAACAGATGCTCGGTTCGTGTGTGGTGTTTCTGTGTGTGGGGCGGGTGGGTACCTGTGTGTGCGTGTGTGGTTGAGGTCCAGCCGAATGAGCCATCGCACCCGACTCCTAAAACCACACACAAACCACCTAAAGGCACACAGACGTGACAGACTCTTCCTGCTGACTTGCCTGAGGATGGTCAGGCTGCGATTGCCGCGAGGAGGTGTGTGAGGTGGCCATCGCACTGCGGCGAGGACAGACATGACGCAGCCATTTAGTGCTGTTTGTGATTTGTGTTGTCTTTTCTGCTGGCTTACGTGAGCGGGCCGTGCACGGTCTCTGGTCGGTGCAGATCTGCCGACCGGCCTCCTCAGCGCACAAGAGATCTCAGGGCGATGGATGACAATCCACCTTCGAAGCGCACAGAAAACGACGCCAGCGGCCAAGGCAGCTCATTCTTACTGACGATGAATGGCTCATTGCCCGGGGATGGCTCATTTTCGCGCGAGCTTGTTCACTCTGGCAGCGGTTTCACGGAGCACCCTACCTGCGAGCTTTTCTCGGAAATCGTGGATCCCGAGAAACACTTGTGAGTGGACCCGCTTTAGAGCACCATGAAGGGCTCAGCGCCGAGCCAGAAAGAACGGCTTCTTCGGCGAAAGCTTGTCGAGCAGCCTCGCGTTTGTTCCTCTCTTTGTTTTCACTTCGTTCCTCCATTTCCGTCCGAGCCTCATCCACCATGGCCTCCTTCAAGCCCAACCTCTCCCCCCTCAAGCCCTCTTTCGACGCCGGCGGCAACAGCAAAGGAGGCCATCACTTTGACCTGTCGGTCCCCACTCATGACGGGCCGACTGTCGGAGTGGGCGTGGCCACCAAACCCACGCAGTTCAACGCCTCCGTGGCTGGCAACATCGCCCCCAATGGTACGCACGGGGATAGAAAAGGCGCCACGCACTGCCTCGCACGTTGACGCGCATCAATATATCTGTGTGCGTGTGTCTCAGTGACCGGCAGCGCAGCACTCTCCACGAACCGTCACCTCCACCCCACCGGCGCGGAGTTCAGCATCGCTGCCAACAACAACAACCATGGAGGTACGCACACGGGACAGTGAAGAGGGAATACAGACATCTTTGTGCGGGGCGTGTATGTCTGTGTGTGGGATGCGTCTCAGTGACCGGCAGTGCCGGCGTCCTCACCAACGGCCACTTCAAGCCTACCGGCGCCCAGTTCAGCGTCGGCAAGACCATCGGCGACGCGACTGTGTCCCTGACCACGACCACCAACCGCCACTTCAAGCCCAATAGCGTGGGCCTCCGCGGCGAGCTGCGCTTCTAGGAAGGTACATGCACACCACAACGCGTCACACGAATGTTCGTTGAACCTCTGCACAATGCCTTTGTCTCTCTCTCTCTCTCTCTCCCCCCCTCTCTCTCTCTCTCTCTGTGGGTGTGTGTGTGTCTCTGTGTGTCTCCGTGTGGCTGTCTGTGTGTGTGTAGTGCAGGTTGAGTGTCTGTCTGCGTCGACTAACCAGACCACGAGGCGAGACAAGAAGGCACCCCACTTCACACGACACCGCACCACACCACAGCCCACCACACCGCAGGGAGGCGGCAATGACGGCTGTCTTTTTGTCTCATTTCTAGCAGCTGTGGGCAGTCAGGGCAGCTGATGCATGTGTAAATCGTGTGCCTTGTGGATGGATGGATGAATGGTTGATTGATGTGCATGTCTGACTGGCTGGCTGTCTGTCTGACTGACTGTCTGACTGACTGACTGGCCGGCTGGCTGGCTGTCTGTCTGACTGACTGTCTGACTGACTGACTGGCCGGCTGGCTGGCTGGCTGTCTGTCTGACTGACTGTCTGACTGACTGGCCGGCTGGCTGGCTGGCTGGCTGGCTGGCTGGGGGAGGGGATCTCCTGTGCGGCCGAGAGGCTGACAAGAGCCGACGGACCCGCACTCTCTTTTTGTAGTGATCCCTTTCTCTCTGACGCAGTCTGTTGGCCGTGTGCGTGTTGACTCTGGGCCACCTTGGTGGCTGGGTGGGTGGCTGGGTGAGTGTTTGTGCTCTGTGTGTGGATCGTGAGACTTTGTTTGTCTGGCAGTCGGGTGGGGCGGGATGACTCCATGTGTGTGTGTGTGCGCGTCGCTAGCCGATGCCTTCGTGGATGGATTGCCTGTGAGAGAGCCACACAGCCAGAGAGGGACGGGGGGGTGGGCGAATGGGAGAGTGTTTCAAGGGTCACGGGCGCATGGATTGCGTGTCGACTGACTGACGGAGTGAGTTCGGTGCCTGTCTGCCTGTCTTTTTGTCTGTCTGTCTGTCTACCCGGCTGCAACGCAGTGTCGGTGTAGGCCGGGGTGAGGGCATAGCAGTGGGCTGGGGGTCTCTTTTCACACACACAGACACACACACACACGTCAGCACTGAGTGGGTGACATGGAGAGATCAGCAGCACCGAGTGGGGTGGGGTGGGTTGGGCGAGGGGTGAGAAACAGCTTGTTGTGTGTTTCATTCTAAGTCTTTTTGCTGCCCAACGTGTCTTGGTGGGCGGGTGAGAGGTCGAGTGGTCGTGCGGGTGTGGGCTGAGGCAGTGGGGGGCATGGTGTGTTTCGTACACACACACGATCGAGGCGAACAGAGAGTTACAGAGACAGAGAGCGACAGGCAGGTTGAGAGAGAGAAAGGGGGGGGGAGCGGGGAGAGTCTTTTTGTCTGGCTGCCTGTCTTTTTGTCTGTCTGTGTGTCTGCCCGGCTGCAACGCAGTGTCGGTGCAGGGGAGAGTGAGGGCATAGCAGTGGGCTGGGATCTCTTTGCACACACACACACACACACACACACACGTCAGCACTGAGTGGGTGGGTGACACGGGGAGATCAGCAGCACCGAGTGGCTGGGGCGGGGCGGGGCGGTGGGCTCACACAGGTTGTTTGATCAATGGATTGTTTTGTTTGCACATGGTCTTGTGTTGGCCACCTGTTTTCGGCTTGTCATGCCACAAAGACACACACAGACAGTCCACCGATGAGTGAAAGCGCACAGTCATGACAGCCACGGCATGGCATCAACCGTCCACCAAATCTGCAATGCACAAAGCCGAACGCACTCCCACGGCAGACACTCTGGCTGGCCTGCCATGCCTCTGTGGCACATCTCAAAGCAAGTCTCAGGGGCTTCTGCAAACAACCCATCAAGGGGCTTCTTTGACACAGACAAGAGCGTGTGCAAAGCTCCTTTGTGCACGTCTCCGCCCCAACCCGAGTTCATGCACAAAGGAGCAAGCACACGGCACAAAGGAGATCGGCCACAAACATACCAAAGGACGTACCTCACAATATAAAATGTAAGCAGCGTTGGATGGCCTGCGGATGCAAACATATGAGAGATGGTCACTGTCTGTGTCAAAGATATGTATCCATACTTACCCATCTTATCAGGCGCTGGCCGCCTCTTTGTTTCTTTGCCTATAGCTGCCCCACTCTACTGGCTGTCTGCAGATGGAGGACAGGCATCTCACACAGAGACACGCATGGCATGGCATCAAGTGTCCACCAAACTTCCAATGCACAAAGCCGAACGCAGAGTCCAATCACTCTTAGCGCGCAAGGCCGAAACGGGGGAGAGCGGCCCCAAACCGAGTTCAAGAAGCCCTTCAGCCCCTTTTTGCTGCCCACCAAGACAACTACGCCCTACCACTCCTCCCCCCCACCACTCTCCCCCTTCTCGTTCCCCCCACCCCCTCCCCAATGTCCGCACCCCCACAGGTGGCATTCAGCGGAATTGAGTCTACCTGCCGTTGCATTATGCGTTCGTGTTTCTCTATCAGGTGCCCGTCCTCAAGCTGACGGGAGGAGATTCGGCCGGCTCACTCAACGCCTCGCGCACCAGCAGCCATACCCCCGCCGATGACACCACTCGTCACGAACGACGCGAACGCGTCGAGGTAGGTGACCTGGGAGCGATTCAGACAGGCCCCACGACACATTATCGCCTGTTACCGTTGTCACGCAGAAACTCAGACGAGAGCGGACACAGAGGCTTCGGGAGCGGCAATCTCGCGTGGGGCAGCTCACAGTGCCTCAGAACGAGCCCGGAGTCCAGCGTCCGATCACGCCCCGAGAGAAGCTGCAGCAGTCCGTGCGGGGCATCACGTCGGCCAGCTACCTGAATTCACTGCTTCGGGGTAAGGGACGGGTGAAGAAGGCCACGGGATCGGCCACCGGGGCGGTGATGCCACCGCACCTGACGGAAGAAGAGGCATCCCCTTCAAGCAGAGTAAGTCAGCTCCACGCAGCGGTCCCAGAGAAGTCTCATGTCTCGTGTGTTTATCGACAGCCACCGAAGGCTCCTGGGCCGCTGAGATCGGCTTCCCGTCGCGTCTCTCAGTCGCCCAACATTGGGGCACTAGGTGTCGGAACCATCCCAGAGCATGACGAAAGCAAAGTGGGCAAAGGGCACTTGCATGTCGGGTGAACGGAAAGGCCGTGCTGTGCTGCTATCTCTTTGTTCAGTTCGGGACTGTACCGGCGAGTCTCTCTGGCGCTCGTTCTCGTCGCACATCTAGAATGACTCCATTGCCGCCGTTGCCATCCGTGACTCGTTGTATTCGTAACGGATACGGATGTGCATGCGATCGTGTGTGTGTGTCTGCATGTTGATCAGACCAAGGAAGCTGTTCAGCAATCGATGCCAATGTCGTCCAAGGGCTCGTCTGTCATGCCCACCTCATCTGCAGACAAAGAAGCAGACACACCTTCATCAGCGGTGAGGCGAAGAGAGCATGTTGACATCTTGCCTTTCTTCCTCTCATCCCTATGCCATGCCTCTACCTATGCATCCTGCTTCTTAGACGCGCAAAGATGAGCAAGTACGTCCGCGTGCTCCGCCACTGCCCGTGCCTCCCAGGTATGTACCGCCTGAGCTCCGAGAGTGGGTGCCAGAAGCCCTCATACCCAAGCAAGTGCCCAAGCCTGCGGAAGAAGATGTGCGTCGCGGGTCGATTGCGTTTACGTCCGGGCCCGGTGAGGGTCAGAAGGCGCGAGGGACGAAGGGTTTCGAGGAGTTCAGACAGCAACAAGTGGAGGGCGAGTCGTCAAGGAGACATAGCGGTCAGGGCCGACAGAGAAACACCATGGAAGACCTCAGACGTCAGGTAGCCCTTCTTCAACTCATGTCCATCTGTCATCCAACCAGTGTCTGCTTTAGGTGTCTTACCTCGAGCATTGTGTTGAGGATCTCGAAGGAGAGTTGCAAGCCAAGGACGACGAAATCGACATGCTCAACCGAAGGGGTGCTGGCGAGATTCTCAAGAAACGACAGGTGCACCGCGACAGACCGGAAAACATCCATTCTCCCGTTGTCACGTGTGTGTGTGTGTGTGTGTGTCTCACAGGACCTGGATGAAGACATAGCTGCTGAATGGGACGAGATGGTTGAGGAGATCACAGTGTTGCGGAAGCAGCTGGAGCTGCACCGCACTGCACAGGAGGCACACCAGGCCGAAAGCGAAAAGAACCTGACTCTCCTCGAAGAAGCACAAAAGGTGACCGACAGTGACCGATTGACACTTTCGTCTTATCCCTCAATGATTCGCTGCTGGCGTGCCAACGGCTGGCATCAGGAGCTGGAGATTGTGAGAGAGGAGAAGGCGGCACTCAAGCGGAGTCTGCAGGAGGTAAAGCAGGAGGTCAAGACCAAGGAGAAGGAGGAAAAGAAGGCTGCCAAGGAGGAGCAGCAACAGCAGGAGCAGCAGCAGGCCGCAGCTGGACGTATACAGACCCCCAGAACGGCCAGAGGACCCGACACGCAAGTCCTGTAAGGAGAACACATATAGAGACACACGGCAAGCCAAGAGCACAGTGACATCGTGAAGTGAGTGTTTGTTGTCAGGGAGTTGAAGATGAAGGCGCTGAACTCAACCGTGCTGGCCCTTGAGAAGAAGTGCGAGGCCCTCGAGACACAAGTCACCTATCTGACGGAGGAGAAGGAGGAGCTTCAGAGCCTCCTGGAGGCCTCACGCAGGGATCGATTCAACCAGCAGTCCACACACCAGCTGCAACTCGTCTCCAAGAAATCCGACGTACATGAGGATACAAAACCATGCAGAAAAGAATGAAACAAAGGACAGCATCTCAAATTGTGCTCCGTCGTTTTGTGTTCGTGTGTCAGGTGAAGGAGGCCGACATAAATTTTGCCAAGGAGCTCAAGTTCCGTTCCAAATGGGATGATGCGTCGCCGCAGTCGAGATTGGGCAGCCGAAGCCAGGTGGCCATCGAAGACGAATGCGAGATACTCAGAGAAAACTGCAAAGTAAGCATGCACAGCACATACTCAAGGGGAGTGTGCATCACATCACGTGTCTTTCGGTTCGTTTATTCAGGACCTGGAAGAGGAAAATGACGAGCTGAAACAAGAGGTAGATGACCTGCTAGACGAGATTGAAGACCTCCGGGCACAGATCGAGCAGCAGAAGCAACAAGGTCAGTCACACTTGCCTTTATTGTACCTGAATGAATCTGAATATATATGTGTGTCTCCTGTATGAATGGTCAGACTCCGCTGCATCGGCCCAGCCACCCCGTCCTCTGGTCCCACAACTGAAGCTCGGCGGCGTTGAAGAGAATGTGCGGGCCATGGTTCAGAAGCATGAGGATTTCATAGAGCGCGCCAGCCCCCCACCGTCGCCAACCAACACGAGCAAAGCCGCCAACAAGACCAGCTCGGCGTCATTGCGGTCAACTGCAGGACAAGGGGTGCTGGACGCTGCGGACACCCAGAAGACGATCAGTGGCCTGCCTCAGCAGGTTGAAGAAGGAAACAGGACCATCGAGGCTCTGAGAGCGAGAGAGGGAGAGCTTGAAAGGGAATTGCAGAAGACACAAGAGGAAAGACAGGTACGTAACCACAAAAAGCAAGACGTCAAGAGGACCAGTAGCGAGAGACACCATGCACCTCTACTGTCCTCCTTGGTCCTTTCAGGCTACTGAAGGGGCGGAAAAGTCTTCTGCAGCCAAGACAGCCGAGGCAAGATAGATACACAATGTGGTGTCTCACGCTGTATTCGTTCTCTGCTGTGGATTTGTCAGCTGCAGGAGAAGCTCCGTCTGCTGGAGGACAAGAATCAGTCTCTGGAGAGTGAAGCGGCCAGACTCTCTGGCCTTCAAGACACTCTCAAGAAGATGGAAGACGAGCTCATCACCAAGACGGAGGCCGCGCAGCAGCTGGCAAAGCAGCGCGACGAGCTGCAGCAACAGCTGGACCAGGGGGAGGGGGTGGCAGGCAAGCTCAGGGAGCAGCTGACAAGCAAGAGCGATGAGATCGAAAAGCTTACGACGACGATCTCGGTGGGATGACATGCTGCGCGCAAGGTTTTGACGCTGCAGCCGTCATGTGCTCTGTGTGCATATCTCCCTTTGCAGACAATCGAAGAAGACAAGAGGAAACTGCAGGAGTCGACAAGCAAACTGCAGCTAGAGAACGAAGAGCTGACGGCGACGATCGCGTCTCTAAAGTCTTCATGCTCCGCGCTTGAATCACAGCTGTCGGCAGAAAAGCAAGTACGTAGGCTCTATCTGCAAATGTGTTCGCGTCTTATATGGCATGTCCTTTCTGTGGCTGCATCGGTTGATGTCAGGGAGCCCAGCAGGGAGTAGAGACGGCAGAAAAGCAGCTCTCCAAGCTGCGGGCCGACATGGACGAAGTCACGCTACAAAACAACGTAATACGCTCCTTGTCCCTTCACTCACATCTGTGCGCGCATAAACGACCATTCTGGTTTCCAACAGGCGGCGACAGACGAGCTCAAGAGACTCCACGAGAGCCAGATAGAGCAGGACAAAGCCCAGCAGCAGCTTACGGCTGACCTCGCAGCCGCAAACTCTGCCAAGAGTCTCTTGGAGGCCGAACTATCCGCTGCGAAGGCAGCTGCCAGTGCCACTTCAGAGGAGCGCGCGAACGCAATGGCGGAAGTGGAGAGCGCACTGGCGAGTGCGCAGCAAGCCGTGGCTGAGAAGGAAAGGGAAATCGAGACACTAAAGACAGAAAGGAAGGTATTACCAATCACTAGTCCAGCGGCCAAGAGCCATTCGCCATCCCTCTGTCTGTCATTGCTGCTTGCAGACTGTGGACGACCAACTGGCGGCCGCCCTTTCGGCCAAGAAGGATCTGGAGTTGGAAGTTTCGTCATTGAAGTCAGCTGCAGGACAAGGGGTGCTGGACGCTGCGGACTCCCAGAAGACGATCAGTGGCCGGACCAACCAGATCGAAGAAGGAAACAGGACCATCGAGGCGCTGAAAACGAGAGAGGGAGAGCTTCAACGGGAATTGCAGAAGACGCAAGAGGAAAGACAGGTACGTAGGCACAAAACGGCATGCGAGCGAAGCAAAGCGTGCATGGTTGTGGGTTGCCGATGATGTCTCTCCTTCAGGAGCTCCAAGCTCAGTTTGAAAAATCCCAGGAGGAGAGCGCCCACTACAAGGCTGCACACGATGAGACCGTGCAGAGGATTCACACACTGACCGGGGAGAAGCAGGTAAGCCTAACATCAATGGATGGATGAAAAGAGACACGATTGACGCTTGTGTGTATGTGTGTGAGTGTGCTCTAGGCGCTTGAGTCAGAGATTGGCCGCATTACAGCGGAGAAGGAGAATCTGCAGAGTCAAGTCACTGCCGCATCCGCCCACACAGCCCCTTCCACCGTAAGTAAAAAAACACGCTCCTCCATGCATTCATTTGTGTGGTAAGTGCTTGCCGGATGGATGTCTCTGTCTCTATTGCAGGCCACGCTGCGTCGACTCATGGCCGAGTCGGCGCCTGAGGGGATCGACGCGAGGGCGAGAGTCGCGGCTTTCAACTTGTACAAGACCGACCCATGGAGCCGCACCGACGAGAAGTTGAACTACTGGGAGGTGAGGTGCATTCATTAACATTCTTCACGGATTCATGTATGCCTGTATTTGTGTCCCATATTGTATCAGGGGAAGTCGAATGTTCTTGAACATTACCTGGGGGAAGTAGTTGTGGAAGTCCGACACATTTTTGCATTTTGACTTCTCCATACGCCTGCTGTCACTCTGTATTGTATGTGTGTGTGTGTGTGTGTGTACTTGCTCCTGAGAACGGACGGACCCCTTTTGTTGTTTCCTCTTGTCAAGCCTGGATGGGTGGGCGGATGGATGGATGGATGGTGTGTCTGTCTGGTTTGTTCTTTCTCTCTCTCTGGCTAGAGACTGCGTCGGCGGGAGCGGGGAAGGTGTCCGCCTGTCCGTCCGTCTGTCTGTCTGTCTGTGTTGGTTCTCTTGTACCATACACCATGTTAAGATGATTCACGCGCACCCACCCATCCACGCACAACACGCAACACACGCAGGCAGACGTACAAACACACACACACACACACACACCTTCCAGCGTATGCGCAGACGTATTTTGTCCGCCTGTTTGGATAATTGGTCGATGTACACGTGCCACCCCCGTGTATGCGTGTGTGTGTGTGCGTGAGAGAGAGAGAGAGAGAGAGAGTGTGTGTGTGTGTGTGTGTGTGGAGTGAGTGAGTGAGTGAGTGGACGAATGAAAACGCGCCAGCACTGCTGATGTTCCATAGTATTGCTGGCTGGCTCGCTACACGTGCCGAATAGACGGTCGCCGACGTATGTCTGTCTGCCTGTGTCTGCGCATGGCATCCGGTAGATAACGATGCGCACTCTCACTCCCTCGTGTATGGATCGATCCACCTGGCCGTGACTGATGGTGTCGTCGTTTTTTTCCCATGATGAGTGTAATGACGCACACACCACCACACCACCACACAGTCTGGCCGGCCACCCCCTCCCCCTCCTCGTGTCTGTCTGCCTGTCTCTCTGTTCATCTCTTCTAGCTAGTGCCTGCGCCCGTGCGTGTCGGCTGGCCGGTGGACGGACACGTACCTATCTACTCGGTTGGCAGAGAGACAGCAGAGGTCAGGACAACCCGGTTTGACTATCTTTCAAAAGTGAGTGAGTGAGTGAGTGAGTGAGGGATGCTGCGTGGGGATGGCTGTTTTGATAGAAACGGACAGAGAAACGTGTCCAGTTTTGCCTGCTGATTCGTGAGAGACACCGCTATCTGAATCGTTGCCCCCCAATGACTCTCTTATTGTTCTCATCGTGCTACTCAAGTTCACCTCGTCTACGCACACCGCACGGATACACACGGGATGCCTACCTGCTTCGATAACTACACATCCAATGCGATACCCGCCTTGCTGTACCCGCCTTGCTGTCTACCGTGATCCATGGACAATGCCCCTCGCCCTCCTCATTCCTCAGTCAGCTGCCTGCCTTCCTGTCTCCTGTGTTGTCTCTCTTCTTCCAGAAAGACAGCAAGCTGTCAACTATCCCCATGCGCGAGTTACTCGACGGCACTCCAGCTGCTGACGCGACGCCATCCCCATGCTGCGCTGGCGTCATGTCATCGGGCACGGTGACGGACCTGCCTGGGAGACTCTGCGACTCCTCTTCATCCGTCTCGCTATCCACAACCTCTGACTCCTCATCCTCGTCTTCATCATACTCGTCCTCGTCCTGCTCATCTTCGCCTCCGTCTGCTGGCTGCATCTCGTTGTACACCGTCTTGCCCTCCTGCACAGCATGTGTCTCCACCCAGTGGAAGTCCTCCCACACTATCGTCTCCTTTGACGGATCGCTCGGGTCGAGTATAACCGCACCGGATATCCTGCCTTGTTCGCGGGGTAGGGTTGGTGTGCCTGAGAATGCAGGCATCTGTCGGAAGACCATGCCGCTGTCCTTGGGGACGTTGTCGGGTGGAGGCTGCTGGTGATGATCAACAATGTGGCTCTTGGGGGTGTGGAAGGGCTGCTCGTCTGATGTGGACGAGAAGGCTGGCCCGCCAGAAGAGAATGGGTTTGGGTCCGTTGCGAACTTGAGGAGAGATGGGCTGCAGACAAAGAGACACAGATGGATTGACATGCATGTGTGTGGGATGGACCTTGCTGGTGTCTCTGTGCATATCCATACCGATCATTCTCTCTGCTTGCAGAGGCAGCGAGCTTCTGGGCCTCTCTCAGCAAAGCCGGGAATCCGTCATTGCTCACGGGTGGCCTGAGACGAGCTGGCTCGTCATTTGACCGGCTCCGTCTCAGCAGCGACAACGTCTCCTTGTGTAACCGGGGCACATTCGTCTCGTCAGCTGCCGGCTTGCCCTCCCTCTGCGTCGACAATTTGGCCCTCGACGGCCTCGACTTCCCGCGGCCTTCCTTGGTCGTCGCACCGCCCACATGCGACTTGCGATGCCTCCCAGCTGCTGCAGCGCTGGAGCTATCGAAGATCGCCGGTGTGGAAACCGTGTCGAGATGAATGGTCTTCGACTGGGCGATGATTCGCCCGCTGCCCGCGACGCTGACGGTCGGGTATCGGCTCTTCTTGCCGCTTTTGGGAGCAGGGATGTCGGCCATGAAGTGGCGGCCGCGCTTGATGTTGCGGGTCAGCTGGATGGCGTGCAGCAGCGGCACCTCGAGGGACTCATCTTCCGGCCGTCCATCCACGTCGTTGGTCTGGTCGGTGAGGGTCGAGCGGATGTCCGTGTCGGAGGGGAGGGCGTAGGTGAAGTGGCGAACGAAGTTGAAGCAGCCGTCGCACACAGGATACCAGATGGAGACATTGGGGGAACCTGCAAAGGCGGCAAAGGGACTACAATGTGTCTCTGTAGACAGCATGGAGGGAGGTGGTTGACAATGCGTACTGGATGAGGTGGCTTGGCTGATGGCCGGTGGGGGTGCGGGTGAGTTGCCGCGGTGCAAAGGCGCCCGTTTGCCACAGCACGAAACGCACAGGATCAGCCCACACCTCCCACAACACCTGATAAACACACACACATGCACATCTGCACTGTAGGAGTGGTGTCTCCGACGCCCCAATCTCGCACACACCTCCTCCTTGGGTTTGGTTGTGTGAAGGGAAATGCGCAGATCTGGCATCTCTTCTGCCGCAGCACTCGAGCTGGATCGGGGAGGGGCGAGGCTGCCAGAGGCGTGACGGCCCACCACTGCAGCTGCTGTCTCTCAGGGTCGTGCGGGTCATATGACAAACACCTGTCCACGCAAACGGAAGGACGCACTCGTGAGTCGATGGGTGATTGCCAGAGACGTGGGCATGCTGCTCACCGGTACGTGTCGAGATACCGTTCGACGATCTCCAGCTGCAGGTGGTAGATGCCCCGCGACGCCAGGGAGCCACGAATCCCCCTACTCTTCCAACCTCTGCCGCCATACTGGGCCAACAGTCGGGCCACATCAATACTCTAAATTGAGAGACACACCGCATCATATCCAGACGTCACAAATAATGTGCCTGTACATTTGCTCACCTTGACCATCGCTGCTGGTGGCCTGGCGTAGCCGTCAACCTGCGCACATGCGGACCAACCAGCCAGTCAGTAAGCCACATTGCATTGTCACAAAGGCGTTCGTACCGAACGTGGGAAAGAGAGTGAGGGCTCTCCCGCTTTTACCTTGTTGGGCTGCGCGCCAAACCTCAGCATGAGTTCGACCATCTCCTTGTCATCTGACTCCACTGCAAAGTGAACCACCGTGCGATATGTACCGTCGCGAGCAGGCACATTCGGGTCCTTCTCCATACCAGACAACACACACAGACACGCAGACAGGGATGGAGATTGCCGTCATACAGTATTCAGCGCAGCGCCGGCCACTCACCGCTCCGCATCTGAGCAGCCGCTCTGCTGCCGTGATGTCCCCTGCCTTGACACATGCTTGCAGTGCCGTCAGGGATTGGTAGGGCACCACCCGGGAGACCTTGCGAGAACACGGGAACATGACGCCGCCCTCCACCCGCCCTGTCCCGCTGCCGTAGGACGACCCACTGGCGAAGAGAGGCTCAACTGGCCGCGTGTTGGTCGTGTTGAAGTTGATGCGGAGAAGCTGATGAAACAGAGACACAGACAGATGCAAACACAGAAAGATCCATGCATACTTTGACACCTTTTCTTACCTTGAGTTGTTTGAGTGTGGACATGGCGACTTTCTCGTCCTCTTGAAGGGCTGCCAGGTGGAGGACAGAGCGGCCGGTGGCGTCTCGCAACAAAGGGCTGGCCCCCCTTCTGAGCAGGAGGCGACACAGGTCGGGACGCCCAAGCCTCGCTGCGGTGAGGATGGGTGTCTCATAGAGGAAATTCACCGTATCGAGCTGTAAGGAAATCACGCACAAACAAGAGTGCCTGCCTGCTGTTTGGCAGACGACGGGCAAGTATGCACAAATGTACCTGCAGGTTAGGAACCTTCACGAGAAGTTGCAGCGTCCTGAGGCTGCCACTGAGTGCACTCATGTGTAGAGGTGTATTGCCCCACTCGTCGCACTCCTCAACGTCATGATGCGTCATGATGAGCTCCTTCAACACTGCCACATCGTCAATCATGCACCTGGAAGAATTAAAGGGAGATGACTCACAGTCCATCCTTGTCCCCGGCACCCCACAGCCAAAACTTACGCATAATGTACAGTGCCCTTCACCTGCATTCACGAAGACGCACGCTCCAGATGTGCCTTTCAGATATGTCTCTTTGTGGTGTGGTGTACGCACTTGTTGGTGTGCGATGAGCGGCGTCAGCTCCGATGGGCTCATAATGGGCCGCCCGGTCAGCCACTCGCATATCGCCCTTCTCAGGAACATGACCCACGCTGATCTGTCGGGATGGCTGGCAAAGCACACCACAGCGCTGCCCTGCCGACTCGACAGCTCCAGACCGGAAAACGTCCCAGCCACCTGATTCATACACGGACACATCCATCCATCCGTTTATCCAATATTGTCTGTGCATCCCGTGCTCACGGCTTCATGAAGGCAGATGAAGGTGCTTTCGTTGAATGGGAAGGCCTGCTCCAGCTTGTACAGGCCAAATTCGTTCAGCGCATTCGTCAACAGAAGACAGTCACTGCACACAAACAGCCCGCCGCGATGGAACTCACGCCGAAACATGCCTTTCGACGGCCGCAGGACAGTGCCATGCAGAAGACACTCCCTGCCGTCCACCGGGGTAAGGATGGCCTCACTGCTGGCCTCTTGAATGCGCCCCAGCACACCCGCTGAGGCCCCCGCCCCTCTTTTTTGCGATAGCTCGTCAAAGTATTGCTGCGCGAGAGCAGGGGAGGAGAACTGAGCCGTCTTTGTCCAGGAGAATCGTGCTGAGTCGAGGAGGGCCTTGAGGGAGGACTGACGACGGCGGGAGCTGCTCATGATGGAGAGGACAGGCAAGACGGGGGCGGTGGGGGGAGAGACGGAGTTTGCATGCATGCGACCAGGATGTCTTCCCGGCCAAGAACGGCGGATTCATCTCTCCCGATGGTGCGGTAAGAGAGAGGTCCGGCTGGCTTCGATCACCAGTGTGTGCCCGTCTGCATGATGTAGACATCATGTCATGATCATGATGTCAGCTGACATTTGTATGTATCGACACAGACATGAATATGTAGCGTCTTCACAGAAAACAGGGCCCAGCACACACGCACAGTCACCCACCCACGAGAGAGAATAACTGACCGATCGCGTCCGATCCGTCCACTCGCTTGTCCACACATCACTCGTCCCCATGACATGATGAGAACACCCCAGCAGTACGCCATGACTGCCTCCCGCCCCTCAAAAACAGGCTACCAGCCGGCACCAATGCAACAGACAAACTATGACACAGCCGACCATCCACCCGCACTGAGGGCTCGTTGCGCCGGCCAGCTCGTCGGCGAAGCGCTCTTTGGCCTGTGCGTCCGCCCGCCTCTTCCCCTCGGGAATCGCGTGCTGAATGGCGGTGACGAGCACGTTGGTGCCCTGGATGGACGTCTCGTACGCCTCAGCGACCCGCTCGGTCGGATCGCGCACCCCTGTGCCGCCATACCGCGCCGGCAGCAGCATGATCGTGGCCTCGGTCTCGTCGATGGACTTGCCGCAGAGGCCGGGCAGGTACGTCGTGGTGAGTAGGTGGCGAAGGGGCTGGAAGGTCTCCTTCTCCTCGCGGATTACGCGCATGACGAAGCCCCACTCGGCCTGGGCGACTTTGTCATGACGGCGTGGGCCTGCTGCGGGCGCTTGGTCGCGGCACGTGCGACTTCCGTCATGCACTCCTCCCACCGCTCCACCTTGTGCCGATGTAGCCGCCCAGCTACCGGCTGCCTGTCGAACACCTCCACCCCCTCAAACACCTCCCGCGCCCTCTCCTCCAGCCACTCCCGCACCACCAAGATGCCCCACAAGCGGCGGCAGACGATCACCACCGCCCTAGGCATATCCAACACAACAGACTACCAGTCATCGTCGCTGCTGGGGCTGGGACGCCGCTGCCACTTCCCCCCCTCCTCACTGTCCTCCTCCTAAGCAATACACGCCTCCTCGTCCGCCTCGGTCACAGCACCCCCACACACCACCCCCACCACCACCGTCACGTCGTCCTTCTTGCCCCTCCCACCCAGACTCCGGCTGTAGGCGGCGCTCCCGATGGTCTGCGCGATGGCGTTGGCGTCGTTCCTGTCGTGCTCTTTGATGATGTCCAGCACGTCGTCCATTGTGATGTTATCGAAGACGCCGTCCGTCGCCGCTATCACAATATCCCCCTCCTGCACAGCAGCTGTGCAGCACTGCACCCCCAGTGGGCTCCGCTCCTCCGTCGCCTTGTCAATGAAGAAGCCTGGCGCACAAGGAGGGCGGGCCACCAGGTCCTCTGGGGTGGGGTCGACGATGATATTGGTCTCGTCGGCACCCACAGAGGCAGGCAGTCTGCTGAGCTGGTAGGGGCAGTTGGTGCGGTTGGGCCGCTGCATTGGCGTCAGCTCGGCGATGACGACTGTGCTGCGCTCGGTCGAGCGGATGACAAAGGCGACGGAGTCGCCGAATGTGGCCAGCTCGATGCGCAGCTCATGCCCCCGCTGCATCAGCGCCGCCACTGTGGCCGTCGTCGAGCCCAGCGGACCCCGGCGCTCAGCACCATACCAGGCCTTGGTGAGCGTCGCCATCGCCCGGTTGTCGGCCTGGCGGGTGCTGATGCGGTGGTCGATGCCCGACAACCACCAGCAGCGGGCCATGAGGTCCTGTGCCAGGTCTCTGGCGGAGAACTTGAAGGACTTCATGACGCCGCTGACGCCGTCTGCCACCCCGAAGGCGCCGTGTCTCGGTGCCATGAAGAGGGCATCCTCGTTGCCCTCGCCTCCTTGCCGGCGCTTTGCTCGCGAGTATGCTGCGAGACGCAGCTTGAGCGAAGCTGGGGAGGGTGGGGGTGGCGATAGCGGCGGCTGGATGAATGACCCGCGGTAGAAGGGCGCGGCGTTGGGGTTCAGCTGCCTGCTGGAGGGTGAGGGCGTGCAGCCGCAAGTGGATGGCTCGGGGGGACAGGCGGGACAGGGCGGTGTGTGGACTGCCTCCCGCACAAGACAGTCGAGCAGCTCTGTCCCGGTGCTGTCCAGCAGCTCGTAAAGAAAGATAATCGCTGTCAGCGCGTCCGTCTGCAGCTGCTGGTGGTGCTGGTGTTGCGGGCCGGGTGTGGGTGTGGTTGATGTGTGGGTGTGGGGTCGGTGGGGCTGTTGGTCGAGAGAGAGGAACGGTGCTGGTTGGTCGGGGGCGCCTTGTGTGTGTGTTGGCGTGGGGACGGTGACGTCGTCGGCCTGTGACGATGAGGGCTTCTGGGTATGCGGCTGCGGCAGGACAGTGGTCGACGAGCTGGAGGTGGCCTCCGGCAACGCTGCGACAAGAAGGAAGGCAAACAAACACCGAACATAGTCCTCATGTGGCTGCATGCCTGTCCTGTGCAATCCATTACCTGGTGCCTGTCCGTCTCCATCACACTTCTCCCCATCGGCCGCCATGGTCCTGACGGTCT